AGGTCATCAAGACTTGATCTGGGTCGTTCCTTGCGTTGGAGGTGTCGACTACCCTATCGACCAGCAGGCAGAGCCTATGACAGTCACTATTCTCGGAAGCCCCTACCAAGTCGAAGTCCAGTACCACGTCTTGAACAATATCACCTACGTCCTACTTGATGCCCCAGTGTTCCGTCAGCAGTCGAAGACCGAACCCTACCCTCCTCGTATGGATGATCTTGACAGTGCTGTGTACTATTCAGCATGGAACCAGTGTGTTGCGGAAGCCATTAAGCGATTCCCAATTGACACCTACCACATTAACGATTACCACGGTTCGCTCGCACCTCTTTACTTGCTGCCAAGAACCATCCCCGCTTGTCTTTCCTTGCACAATGCCGAGTTCCAGGGTCTTTGGCCCATGCGAACCCTCAAGGAAAAAGAGGAAGTTTGCTCAGTTTTCAACCTGGACGAAGAGGTCGCTCGTCGTTACGTGCAATTCGGTGAAGTATTCAACTTGCTCCACGCCGGTGCAAGTTATCTCCGTGTTCACCAGCAAGGTTTCGGTGCCGTCGGTGTCTCTAAGAAGTACGGTAAACGGTCCTACGCTCGTTATCCTATTTTCTGGGGTTTGCACAAGGTCGGCAATCTGCCCAACCCCGATCCGTCTGATGTCGGTGAGTGGACAAAGGAGCCCACTAAAGAGGCGGATATTACCGTGGATCCAACATACGAGGCTAGCCGTGGTGAGCTTAAGAGACAGGCCCAGGAATGGGCTGGACTCGACCAAAACCCTGATGCCGATCTGCTTGTCTTTGTCGGTCGCTGGTCTATGCAAAAGGGTGTTGATCTTATTGCCGACGCAATGCCTGCTGTTATCGAAGCTCGACCCAACGTACAGTTGATCTGTATTGGTCCTGTTATCGATCTTTACGGTAAATTCGCTGCCCTCAAGCTTGACCACATGATGAAAGTCTATCCCGGACGAGTCTTCTCCAAGCCTGAATTCACTGCACTTCCGCCTTTCATCTTCTCTGGTGCTGAGTTCGCCTTGATCCCATCTCGTGACGAGCCCTTCGGTCTGGTTGCTGTCGAGTTTGGTCGAAAGGGTGCATTGGGTATCGGAGCTCGTGTCGGTGGTCTTGGTCAAATGCCTGGTTGGTGGTACAACGTGGAGTCAATCTCGACATCTCATCTCCTTATGCAATTCAAGCTTGCAATTGAGGCTGCCCTCAATTCCAAGACATCTGTCCGTGCGATGATGCGTGCCAGATCCGCGAAACAGCGTTTCCCTGTTGCCCAATGGGTTGAGGATCTTGAGATCCTCCAATCTACTGCCATCGCGGTTCACAACAAAGTGAAGACAAATAATACCAGCATTCGACCCGGCACTTCTTCTGGATTTGGCAGTCTCAGCTCAGCAATGAACTCTATGACTCACCTCGGTAATGGACTGCCTTCACCAGGCATGAACTCTCCATTCGCGCATTCCAGAGAAAGCAGCTACTCGTTCAATCAAATGAACAACATGACCCCGCAGAAGAAGGTCAGCTACAGTGCGGATCCAAGCATGGACGACACAGAGAAGCCGAAGTCGGGACTGAGCCGTTCTCTCTCCTTGGGTGTCCGCTCAGGCCCCGGCCATGCTGGACGCCGCAGAAGAGCAGAAGGAGGAGAGGCTATCGCAGAACACGATGAAAGTGGAGCTACTGATGTCGACGGCGATGATAGTAGCGACGACGAAGCTAATCGCCATTTTGGTGACGACGAATACACTCTTACCCCAGCCCAAGTCGAGGCAGGACGACGGGCTCAGGCCGCTCAAAGGGACCGTGCTCAAAACTTGCCTTCTCCTTTGGCTTCTCCAACAAGAGAAGTCAGCCAAGAGTCTTTGCATCCCAGGTTCATGGTTCCGTTGGAGAGCCCAGGAAGTCCGGGAACACCACCGAACGCAGACAGCCTTCTTCTTCCCCCTCAGCCATTTGCTGCCCAGTCCAACCGTCTCAGCAGCGCATCCGTTCTCTCTTTGGACTCCGTTGTCGGCAACAAGACGGACTTCAAGCTACAGAAGGTTGATCCTTTCTTCACGGACAGCACTGGCGAGTACTACAAGACGTTTGACAAGAAATTGGATGCCCTGAACGGATCCAACTCCGAGTCTCAACTTTGTATTGAAGAGTTCTTGATTAAGAGTGAGCAGCAGTGGTTCGACAGATTCCGTAACGCCAGACTGGGTCGCAGCAAATCTCCCACGCCATCGATCCGCCATTCCTCAAGAAACACCGACACCCCCGACAATATGTTCTACAACGATGATCTCGTCTCCAACGTGAACAGCAACGAAGATGTTCTCCAGGATGATGAGTTCCTTCTCGGAAAGGACTATGTCCCTCCCACTGGACTCAAGAAATGGATGCAGATCAAAATTGGAGATTGGCCGGTCTACTCCATTTTCCTCGCTCTTGGACAGATTATCGCTGCAAACTCCTACCAGATTACTCTGCTCACAGGTGAAGTTGGTCAGACTGCGGAGAAGTTGTATGGAATTGCTACAACATATGCCATTGCATCCATGTGCTGGTGGCTTGTGTACCGGTACTTCAAGTCTGTCGTCTGTCTTTCTACTCCTTGGTTCCTGTATGGTCTTGCGTTCCTCTTGATTGGATCTGCCCACTGGCAAAGTGATTCCTTCAGCCGGGGATGGATCCAGAATGTCGGCACCGGTTTCTATGCCGCAGCCTCCGCCAGTGGATCCATCTTCTTCGCTTCCAACTTCGGTGATGAAGGAGGTGCTCCAGTTGAAACCTGGATTTTCCGTGCCTGTCTTATCCAAGGTATCCAGCAGGTCTACGTTATTGCCCTCTGGTACTGGGGTTCCACCATGACCAAGGCTTCTTCGGAGGGTCTCTTGAGCGCTGAGACTGGCATTGCCAATAGCTGGAAAATGAGGTACATGCCCCTGCACACTTATCATATCCTGAATTATTTACTGACGTTATTCTAGTGCGATCTGTTACCCCATCGCCGTCTTCCTGTGTATTATCGGTGCTCTGTTGGCTACGGGTCTTCCCAACTACTACCGCCAGAAGCCAGGCAAGGTGCCGTCATTCTACAAGTCCCTTTTTCGCAGAAAGATCGTCGCCTGGAACTTCGTCGCAGTCATCCTGCAGAACTTCTTCCTCAGTGCGCCATACGGTCGAAACTGGAGCTGTAAGTTCAATCATCTGATTGCAAATCTCTCTCACTGATCAAAACTAACATCTCCCTTCAGTCCTATGGACTTCCCAGCACACCCACCCATGGCAGATCGTCCTCCTCTGCATCGTCTTCTTCGGCTTCGTCTGGTGCATCTTCCTCTTCATCGTTAGCAAATTCTCCAAGAAGCACAGTTGGTTCCTTCCCGTCTTCGCCTGTGGCCTGGGCGCACCCCGCTTCATCCAAATCTGGTGGGCCATCTCCGGCATCGGGTACTACCTACCCTGGGCTGGAAGCTATACTTCCGGTGCGCTCGTCTCTCGCAGTCTCTGGCTGTGGCTGGGCGTGTTGGATTCCATCCAAGGTCTTGGATTCGGTATCATCCTTCTGCAGACTCTTACTCGAGTCCACATGTGTTTCGCTCTCATTGCGTCTCAGGTGCTGGGTTCCATTGCGACTATCTGTGCCCGAGCCTTCGGCCCCAATCGTGTGGGCCCCGGCCCGATTTCTCCTGACATGACCCAGGGTGCCCATTCCTTGGCTAATGCCTGGTTCTGGGTCGCTTTGTTCTGTCAGTTGTTGATTTGGTATGCTTACCTTTGCTTGTTTCGCTCATTGGAATTATTTCTAACTTTTTTTTTACAGTGCTGGATTCTTACTGTTCTTCCGTAAGGAACAACTCGCCAAACCCTAAGCTCCCTTCCTTTTTGGAGCATTTTTGTTTCTTGTCATAAAACGGCTACGGCCATCACGACGAACATGAATGATCAAATTAATCTCTTCTGCATATCTGAAGCATGTTGTCTCTGTGATCTATTTTCCTTTTTTCATGTATCCTAATGTTAATAATATCCTCATACTGAGTACTTGCTCGGTTGAAATATATCAAGTCCTTGTAGTACTGCTATGGAGTAGGATCGTATGCAGAGGTTTATCAATACTGCATTCTCTTTACCTTGAGTGGTCTCATAAATTTCTCTTACAGAGCCGAACTCAGCAAGGTTCTGGATCATGGTATCGAGTAGTGGAGGTTGCTTTCTATGGTGGCCTGCATATGCTAGGACTTTCTGTACTCGATCCTACGGGACAGGCTTCATGTAGTCAATTATCTGCTCATCTTATATCAACTGCCCGGGTGGTCTAGTGGTATGATTCGCGCTTAGGGTTCACCCAAAGCAATATTGCGCGAGGTCCCCGGTTCAATCCCGGGCTCGGGCCAGTCTTTTCTTTTTTTGCTGTCGTCCGCCTCTAGGACGACAATGATATGTACGAGATCAAGCCAAGGGCTTGTCCTACCACTATGCTTCATTGGCGGCTAGCGCTTACGTTCGCGTGACTTTACCACCGCACAAATAGCCACGAAGACGCTGAGATCACGTGCACCAACCGAAAAAAGGTTGACGTGAGAAACACCAACGACAACAACAACAAATATACATATAAAATTTCTCCGAAAAGACTTCTGCGTTTACACATACAAGAATAGTCGGCCGCTTATACGGCTTTGTCATCTCTTTTTTTTTTTTTGTGGTCTTTTTGGATGTTCTTTTGGATACTCTTTTGGATGTATACAAAGACGGCAGAAGAAGAATATTCTGTGTAAGAGACTTTTCTATGTGTGACTTTTCATTATATTGGGGCCAAATATTATGTCAGTAAGTGTGTGTTGTCGAGGACAGAGGCAGTATGGCCGACTATTCTTGTATGATGACCTTGCATAAGTCAAATTTCTATACTCGTATATTTCTTCTCCGCGGTGTTATTCTCATTAGCCACCCGTAGAAATCACATTCTCGAGGTACTATTTAAGATTCTTCCGATGATGCTTAGCTGCTTCTGGGGTTTCCGCCTGTGGAAGGCTGCTTCCTTTTATTTTCCGAGGCCTGGCTCGTCTCCTGCCGATTGGAGTTAGGCGTAGTGTTGGAAGAACTTCCCGCCACTGCAGCACGGGTTCGTCGTGATGTAGACCTTGATGTGGCCAGGATTGGCGTGTTCTCGATCTTTTTCATTCTCTTCCTCGGTGCCTCCTCGTTCTCTAGGCTTTGATCACTCTGTGAGTCTGCATCGCTCTCCTCACTCTCAGCTATGACGGGATGCCTTTTCTTGAGCTTCTTCTTGAGGTGCGGCATCGTAGTAAGTCCGTAAAGATCGACTTTGAGCACGCCCCACCTCTAGTCGCTGAGTGCCATGGGGATGATGGTAAATAGTTGGGCCATCCAGCTCCCAAGTATCATACGGTCTCTTGCCTACAAAGTAACGGTCAAGTGCATCGGCCACTGTATCTTTGAAAGGTGTTAGTAGAAGCAAATATTAGAAGATGTCAAAACATAATCGGCTCAACCGTGGCTGGAACTCTGTTCGTGTTGACTCATAATGAAGGAGGAGGATTGATCGTGGTAAGGCGCTTGATAGGGGGCGCATTTTTCCAGTTAGCCCCATGGTACTCTCTATTCTGTGACCTGGAGGCCTTTTCCCACGCGACCTTCTTAACTGGGTCGATATAGTTAGTGTTGGGTTCCGAGTCTCTCACCACCTAAGCACAGGTAGCACCCATCTTATCTCTTCATGGCGGTATCATATTATCATATCTATCTTGCTCTATGGATATAGACAATCAGGAGGCTTTGGGGGGAGTACACGTCTTATCCTCTCCATATGTAAAATACTACTCCGTACAATGCTGCACAATAAAAGATAATATTGCATTCCATGCGCCAGATAGAACGAATTGAATATCTCGGTGCCACAAGAGATGCAACAAACTTGCTCAATGACCCTTGTTCATTGATTTACACTAGATTTATGCTATATAAAGACATCAATAAAGTCCGGGCCCCTGTTTTCAATATTTCCTTCGAGTCCTTTGACTCGTTCACTACATTATTTTGCCTTTGTCACAAGGAACAATTCCTCATTGTCTTTACAGTTATGTTCGTGTTCGTTTATAATGTCCTTATTAGATCTCTTTATTTTATTTCCTTGTACAAAGGCTTTCTCCTATTTCTCATATTCGAGTTGCAAGTATATAAAGCTGCTCGAGTATCCAGTCATACACTTTAACATCAAGTCTCATCCACATTATTTTCGCTGCCTTTTCGAGTCACCGAGAAATCTCACCAACTACCTGATTGTGAGTCTCTAACTAGCTTACAGCTCAAGCCACGATGTCGCCGAGCACTGGATATGTAGCCCGTGGGGAAGAGATACAGCAATGGATGAGCGACCCAACTAATCCCGGTTGTGATGTTAATAGAATCAGTTTGACTTGGAGAGATTTGCACTCTTCTCCAGAATGGATTCTCCACAATCAGCCTATGCTCCTACCAGAATTGCATATGAATTGGATGAGGGAGATTGGTTTCCCAGAGGACAATGACTTGCATCTCCATTCCGAATCCGTTTATCGACAAGTATCACTCAAGAACTTCACCACTGGAACTACCTGGATAGGGAGAACTGGACCTGGTGTGATTTTACTTGAGCTTTTGCAGAGAAACCGAGATTCCGGGGATCCCTTCATATCCGAGTTAACCAAGGCTGCTTATCAACGAGACTTTGATCTTGATGCCCTGAGATACATCTGTGTGTTGGATATTGAGAACAATGACACCAGTGAATATATTGAGGAGCACATGTACAGGCCTGGACCCATTATAAGAGATCAGGGTGTAGTCTATTCTTCCGAGGCAACAGCATTCAAAGGAATGCTGGGTACTAAAGTTGGTAAGATGGTCTCATATTTCATTTTGGGGGCATATGGCCAGGGGGTAAAACATATCACACAAATCCATGTTTTTCGAGCCGACAATGCTTACCAAATTGAGTTCGAGGTTGAAGACGTTTAACAATGTTGATTACTAGAAATCTGGATGCAAGATTAGGAAGAGAGATAGGTAACCTGGGAATATTGCTTTATGCTTTGATCTTTCTTTGACGGCGTTGCAATGCAAGGATTGACTGTGCAGTGATGATTTTCTCACATTTTCTCGAGATACAGATTAGAATGAAGATATTTTGTTTTGGTTAACTATGGAATTTTCTTTTGTAGAAATAACTAGCTAATTTTTCATTCGAGAAGTAACCTGAACACAGCAGCAAACAAATACATAATATATATATCCCCGCGTGAGAGCCACATCACATATGTACGCGTAAGGTGGAATGATGAAAAACTACGCCTCAAGTACGCTCTATCCAATTCCCTGGACCATCTTCGGGATAGATAATGAGAGGGACCAAACAATTATTCCGACAAAAGGATAAAGGACATAGTGAGCTACAGCCGGAGATCCTTAAGAGGCCGCAAAGTACAACCAGTCAAATCCGCCTCCAAATCGCAGATCCATACATCTTTTGTTCTTCTACATTTGCTTTTACTCTTAAAAGTATCTGCATAATAGGAGTGGTAGATCTATAGTTGCGTTGTACAAACACATCAACGATTTATCATAATTGATTTCTAAGACGAATTGGTCAGTAGTGATATCCCCGACTATATCACTGCTCTCTCGTACGGCCGTAAGATGCCGTAATATGATTGGCTAAACCTAGTTTTATTAAGGATCCATGGATCCGTAGATCTTCTCGGGGGATTGTCAAACTCCGATCTATATTAGTAGAAATGGTGTCTCTTTTTAATTGCTATGGGCACTGATTGACAGAATCCCAGGGGCAATAAACACGTGAAATAAGTGTAGTAACTGACTATTTAATTCCAAAGTTGATAATTCAACACGGCAACGTCCATCCACTTTTTTTGGACTGAATATCCGCCCCACACTCGGGGCGAAATTGCCATGGGTGATAGAGAGAGGGAGAAGCGGCTCGAGGTTGTCATTACCTGCTAACAGTACGTTCCGAAGATTATTGGTTAGAGTGCCCATGTGATATTGCCGTAGTACGTAGCCAGCTAGCTCAGCTTGGCTTGCTGTATTTATGCAGGGGCCGGTTCGAATTGAGACAAGACCACATTCCCCAAAATCTGCTGAAGATTCCTCCTCCCCTTAGGAAGTGGATATATATCTTATTTCTACCTAGATATACATATTATGATGCTGAATCACGCCTTAAGCCTTGAGTATGTTTCTATTTAAGCCCCATGGGTGTGTGCTGCGGCCCGTCGTCGGTTGCTGGCGGAAGAGTCGTGGGGCGGGCCATCCCGTGGACTCCCACTAGTGGCTGCTGTACTTCGGGGTCGTATCTATGCGATTGGCCCGGGGCTGTGTATCTTTAACAATTCCAAGGAGTCCAAACAAATTCGGTTGCCTTCTCTTCCCAAACCGTTCTTTATCTTTAATGTCTCGCGTTTGGTGTCTTCACTTTGAGGATGAGGATGCCATCCTAGTTGACGGAGATGTTGTGACCTGAGGACTTTGAAGAAGACAATATCCTTCCTCTATTAGATAATGACCCCGTACCTCCATCTGGTCAACGTAATGTTGCATCCTCGGTTATTAGCTGGTCCATAATTTGTGTACATGGATCATTAGGCCGGGGGCCAGGAATGGGGGCCAAAAGGGAGCCATATCAGGGTATAAAATGAACCGTCTTCGCCTGAGAATACGTACTATCATACTTCTCTAAGACAACTTACTTCCTGTCTAAATTATTCACCATGCGTTTTACTCCTGCCTTCCTGATGCTCGCGAGCGCCATTGGTGCCATCGCCGCGCCCGCCGCTGAGCCCGTGGAACTCGAGGCGAGAGACGAGGGCATCACTATTAAAATTTGCTCTAGCATCAACTTGGGCGGAACCTGCATTTCCCCTGTGATCTACATCCAACATGACTGCCGTTCGTGACCACACCCACCATAACCCAATACCACCCCTTTCCCTCCTTCAGCATATTAAACCTGCAAGTTTGCCACCATTATAGCTAACTCATTGATTGCAAACAGACAACCTGAACGGCAGCCCCGTCATGGACAATGTCAGATCCGTTAGCATTCCTAATGGCTACCGCTGTCGCTTCTGGCAGTATGTTACCCGCTTGTGTTTTGGGAGATTCTGGCTAACTTGTGCTTTTTGTAGATCAACCACCTGCAATGGCGGTGGTACCGGTGATATCCAAGCCGGTGGCAGCAACGACATCACCTCGGGCTCACTGAGCTCTGTCAAGTGCTACAAGAACTGAATTGGCTACCCTGGAGAAGGGAAATGCTCGGCGATTGTTAGGTTTAATTCTCTTTATTGAGATGGAGGCTTGGTAGTCAGATAATTCAGATGGGTGGTTGGATTGTCAAATTGGTAGCCCGGGATATTTGTGGATAGCCCTGAGAGCTTGTCTCTTCCTCCAATCAACAACTATCTTCCCCTCTACGGGCCTGCAAACTGACATATTTGTAATTATCTGTATAAATTGGCCCTGTTTACTTGAATTGTCTAGGAAAGTAGTGGGTATATCAGTTTTAAATGTAGAGAAAGTGGGCGATTTGAATGGAGACAGCATGCACTACCAATTACAGCTCCAGTTCAACATCCTGTCAATTGAAAATGATTAAATTTACTTCGTATTTCGAACTGAAATACCGAGCCTGCGATGCAATGTGATGAAATTTGTATGTAGAAAAAGGGTATAAACGCCACTAAACTACATCTAGATAGAAGCGCCGATCTTACTTGATCTAGTAGGAGTCACAGTAGAAACCTCCCCCGGATTAGGGTTAGCGTTGCAACCTCAGTGGGTACGGAACAGAACGCTAAGGTGGGCATCACAAGGACATTGTATTAGTATTCGCTCTAATTAATAGGCTTAGAAGCGTTGTTTATTTACGGTTTTTTTCCACAAATATTTCTCTAGGAAGCCTTTCTAGAATATTGAAATTTTCAGAAACTCAGTCCATTCCATGGAGGTGAAAAAGGGACGAAAAGCTTTGCCTGACTGCCAATGCCAATGTCAAGGCCTGGGTGGAGTCTTAAGAATAAGAGGCATCAGCTAGCGTTGCTTAGTTTCTTCGAGTTATGCACGGAGTATGGAGTATGCACCTCCTTCATTTAAAGCGGGGAATGGCCCACCTCGGCCTATCACGACGTATTCCCCCGTCCTATCCAAAAATCGAGTCTAAGCTACGGAGTAGTGCTACATGAGAATGAGACACGGGCAAATTACCATCCGAAGTCAAACAGTCAGTTCACTTGCTCCGTACTCGTATAGAGCCCAGATCAATGGAATATCCGTCTGTGGGGCTGAAGGGACCTTGAGAGAATCACCGAGTGATCGTTATGAAAACCCCCTTCGCCCAAAAGCATAACCATATAGTTCAAGACTGACACGCAAAGCTTGCCCAATATCAATATTACCATCCTCAGGTAGCTAATCATCCACCCTGACCTTTACTTCTTCCCACTCGTCAAATATTATAACATCCGTGAATAAAGGAATGCATAACGCAATAAACTAGTTGTTGTGATTGGACCTGGTCTACAGAAGACAGTGTAGAGAGAAATAGTAGAAAATTTTGGACTTTTTTTATATCTTATAGAGATTCGCCAGCTATTTCAAATTAGCCAAGATCCTGAATACGTATTAGCAGCAGAATTTGACTTCGGCTTTATGAACTAAAGTGAGCACATATCAAAGTTGAATTTATGTGTCTGGCAAACGGAAATATACCAAAAAAAAAAACAAAACAAACCCCTCGAATTGCCCGAAACGGGAAACTCTCACGACATCCATATAACAGTCGGAAGGAGGAAAAGGTAGTAGCATAAATTAGTACTCCACAATCAGTTTCCAGTCTCATCCACAAAATTGACAGCATTTATTTGAACTCGGGGTTTCACCTGATGTGGATAAATTCCTCGACATTTCTATGACACAAAAAGGCATTGAAGTCCTTGAGTTCCCAGAGACTATAGAGTAGATAGAGTGCTCAAATCATTTCCACGTCGACCTCAATCTCTATAGACAAGATACTCAAAAAGTGACTCACACCTTGGATATCTCCCTCGGCCCAAGCCACATCATCAACCTATCCTTATCAACATTCCCCATGACCGCTGGCTCCAACGTCAACCTGACTTCCCAGGGCGAAGCCCGGTCCTTGTACCGAGCTGGGAAAATCCACGCCTCGCCAGGAACACGATGTTCTAGAAAATCGAAATCCCTCACTGGCCCCAATACCGGTCCAAAATCATGCTGGTAAGTCGGGAAATTACGCAGCGAGCTGACTATAACATCCCTGGGGCGTGTTTTCGCAGCCCAGTTGTCACTCGCGGCTCTGGTGGAGATGAGTTCCCGGATAGTCTCGTTGGTGATAGAGGCTTGAGCAGTGTGAACCAAACTCGCCAGCTCTGCGAGGAATTTAATGTCGTCGTGGTAGAGGCGGGGTGTGGTGTGAGTTCTATTGTTGGAACCAATCGTTGAAGAAATAATCGCTGCGAGAGGTGTGTATGCTTCGTGGAGAATCACTGCGTTGCCAAGGTATGATGGTGGTAGCTTTGGTCGTAGTTTTGAGCGCGCTCCAGCGACTAACACGGCGCAGGACTTGGTTGGCATTGGCGTTGGCTCGGCTTTTATGATAGCTCGGATCGTGCACAGCCAGATCACCGCAGTGAGGATGACGTTGCTGGATATCTTGCTAGCATAGTGATTGGACTGGTTCTTTAGGATGGTAGCACATTCAGTCTTGAGTTTTGCTACCTTGTCTGCATTGACAACGAACTTTCGAGATGCGGGTGTACATGGTATCGAACCTGGTGTGGGCTTGCATAAAGATGAAAGGTCCCCATTTTGAGAGTGAACTTTTATACTCAGAGCAGAGGCCGCTTCGAATATTTTTTGTCGACTTTGTTGTTCTTTCAGCGGATTTGTTCGTAAAATTTCCGGGCCTGCATTTGGACTGCGACATAACGCGGCAAGCGCATCCAGGATAACAGTGGTCCCAATACCATCTATCGCCGTGTGGTGAATGCTATAGCAGAGTATGATCCCGTCCGACATGATATTGGCTTGAAATCTTAAAATGGGACTTGGGTAGTCCTCTGCCAGCGCGAAGGGGATTGGGGTAATGTCCGCCACAACGTGACGTGAATATTTGGAGAAGATGGGCTGTTCGTGGTACTTTATTCTGAATATGGGATGTTGCAGTAGGAATTGTTTTGTTGGGGGTTGTATCTCGAAGACATTTTCCTTGCCTGGTACCCGGGTCGAGAAGGCAACATTTCCTGCCAGAAATGGTAGATATTTGATGAGGCGTTCCAATCCATCCTCTAAGATGGGGATGGCTTTGAAGGGGTCATCGAGAGAGAAAGTGAGAAATGATGCGAGGTGAACTGGAGACATATAATGATCGAATGGGGTGGCTACATAGGGCTCAAAGGTAGGAAGTTGTTGATCCGTTTTGAATTCCATATTGAAATCCTACGAATACAACCTATGCTCCGTATAATCGTGGGAGATATCAAATATATACCCGATGACAACCTGCACGGATCGAACTGCAGAATGATAAGGAGTGCCCATTCGATCGAGATTGGCGGTTAGGGCGAGAGATTAAAGTGGAAAAGAACGAATGGGATAACGTGTAATCATATTGTTGGGACAGAGATCTAGAAGGGTACTATGTAGAATAGGATGTGTGTGTAGAGGAAAGGACTGGGAGAAAACGGTATGGGTGGCCTGAATTTCCCAACACATATTGTTAACGCCATATTCACAGATGCATCTTCTACGCCTTGATCGGTCTTCCCCCTCAAGATAGCGGTATGCAATGAAGCTCTTCAGCTTTTGCATTCCAATACAGAAAGCGGAACTCCCATATCGTTGTGAAAGGATTTACGGAGTACCTCGTACGGCTTTAGGTTGCGAGGATAGCAGCAGACGGAAGTCCTCGGATTAGGCCCACAATAATCCCTACCTAGGCAGGGATTTTGAGGGGTCCAGCTGACCCCATCTACGGAGTACTCTTCTCTTGTATTTATAATCTTTTCTTGCAACTCAAATTTCCACATCTTAGAAAGGTCAAATGGACATGTCATATGTCGACAAAAAGATGTAGAAAAACATCGATTGCAGCCTCTTCCAACCCATTGTATGAAGGCGATAACCTCAAAGACACCACCTCGGTATGCTTGCGAAATCATCGCCTTAATACAGACATTTTGAAAGCTCAAGCGCTATAGATATTCAAACTCATAAAACACCTTCAATATCGGAAGATTTTATTTTCATGTTTATGGTTTCTATAACTACTCCCTTCCTAGATATACCACGCTGAGTCATTCTCAGAAACCTATAGCATAGATGATAATGATAATTTTGGCAGCCTAGGGAGTAGATAGAATGCAGTCTTGAGGCTTCGATACTATGGATGCTTCATTTTGCCTCCCATATACATGGATACCTAGGTATGTATATATTCATGGATTTATTTACGGCGCACGTGGTTGCCAGAAACCCTACATCGCGCCTGCTTTATTTCACTGATACCAATACACCCGACGCAGAATGACTCTCTCTACAACTTACCAACCAGATAACAAGACATTCATTCTCTTCCAGCCCTTCCATCATGACAAACGGGGACTACGGGAAGCTCGCCATTGCCACAGCCGCCATACTCGGTGTCCTCACACTCGGGGCACTGGTGTACTTGGTAGTGTGGTACATTGGACGCAGACTCCGCGCCCGACGGCTTCGTCGCCAGCAGAATCAGGGGAATGACCAATTTGATCAGTCCGCAGTGTCCCTGGCCGAGGACACAAGCAGGACTCTAGATGACTTCCTCATGAAGGATATCCAACCCGAGCGGAGCTCAATGATATTCAGCAGAAGCGGAAGCGGATCTCCCTCCATCACCATCATAATTGACGGCGGGGATGATGCCGAACACTGCAAATTTTCACCTCAGCCTTATCTCACAAAACAAGACACCGCACCTTCTTCATCTGCAGACACCTATACCTCTACACAGACCTCGACTCAGGAGTCGGACCCCGATGACCTGGGGTCTGATCAGACACAGTGGAGCAGCTCGGGACAACGTTCGTCAAGCACAACTCCAAGGGCATCCATCTCATCGTCCGCTATTCCAACACCGCGATCATCCCAGATTTGGTCTACGACCTCTGGTAGTACGCCATCAGACCAGGCTCAGAGAGGCAGCTCAGGACAGCACTCGTTAACGACGACACCGAGAGCATCTATCTCATCCTCTGTCATCCTGACGGCGGGATCCTCCCAGGGTTGGACTACGACCTCTGCCGGGACTGAGAGGTTTTCGCTCCTTAGTCAATCTTCAAACCACTCGCGCCGCCCTGAAAGTCCCGCTGGCCTATCAACAGCTCGCACCTCACAGCTATATGCACGTCGTTCGAGTGCTTCTGGTGCATCGAGCGGTCCAGCTCGTGAAGGTGTGTTGCAGTCTGCATCCCACATTTTCAACGAGGCGGAGACTTCTCGCATGGCGTATTCAAGAAATATCGACTCTGTTAGATCAATGAGTCCCACTTCTCCCGTTTCTCCAGTGTTGGTAGATGTTTCACCTGAGGGTGATATGCCCCAATGGACATCTGTTCCCTCTGCTCCCTTTCCTTTCGGTCATGTGTGACCGTTGATGCCATACCGTGGGGTGTTGGTTTGATCTTGCCTTTATGGCATGGTAGTTAGGTTAAACTCGACGAGGAAAAATTGGGGTGGATTCAGATTCCATGAATGACTAGGGGACTATCCCTTGCCTTTAATTTCCCTCTCGCCGTTAATGCTTTTGCAAGTTAATGTTCTCAAACGGAATTTCTTCTTGCTGACACCTCTTATCCATTATGTATAGTGTCCAGGTCCTTCCAATGCTTATTCTTTTTATTCGTCCTATTGCTCAATTGCATACTAGCCCAACCTAGAAATTAGGAAATGCCAGGTTTAAACAGCAGCTAACACTGGTAGTACGGAACTATAGGATGGTAAGCTGAATAACTCCAAGACATAACCTAAAGATATCCAATTGCTAATCATTTGCCATCAAAGAACTGAGTAAAATATACAGGACTAATAACCAAGAGAATAGACTCATGGATCGATTGTGTTGTTTTCAATTGCGTTTTCTGGTGCCGACAGAGCCTTCATTTTCCTTGCGCTGATCCCAGTCGGTGCTGCCTCCTTTCCCTCGGCGTGTCATGAATTTCATCATAGCAGTGAAGCGTCTTCCTCTAGATAGAAACATCGCTGGTGCCAGCAAGATCGGTAAACTGCTGATGTCTTTCCATGAAGGCAGCGTGTTTGGCATGACGGTCCGCCTTCACGTTCAACTCCTTAGGAATCCGCCAGAACTGAACACTGATCCCCTTCTCCTCCAATATTTCCAACTCCCCGAGAAGAAGCTCCCAAAGGTCCCGATTCCTGATTGGCTCTCCGGAGGTTGATACCCAACTCGAATGTAGCCATTCCCTTATCAAGCTCGTGATACCCTCTACCAGGTAATCCGAGTCAGTTGCAATGACCAAACGACTAAAACCATCTGCAGCCCAGTCTTTGTATCGCAGAGCTGCGATCACGGCGCGGATATGTGCACGATGGACTGTCAAGGTGTACTGTTGACCATCGGGCCCCTTGAACTCCAAAGGAAAGCGTGCCCACCCAGATGCGGAATCGTTGTACACGAAGGAACAGCCCGCTCTAGCGTTTGTTTGGCCGTTATCCAGACACGTGGCGTCCGTATAAATGAGGAATTCATCTTCGACGGAGCGGTTGTCTTCATTGAGACGGATGAATCGATGGACCCGGTCTGTTGCTGTGACTTTGGGGCAATGAGGGAACAAGGATTGCGGTTTATCATCTGGGCTTGGAGGAGTGAACTCTGTTGGGATAACGCGGCCACTACCAACTCTGAGTTCCGTGTACAAGATAGGAGGTAGGTGGCTGATAACATAATGCGCGGGGTTCACTTGGTGCAAGGCCATGGTGATTTGGTAGACGCATCAAATTGTGACTCCAGAGGATCTTGATAAAGCGTTAACCGGCGTTATTTGTATCAGGCAGGCAACATACCTTAAAGGGCTAACTTCAAGACTATAGAGACGATGATGCAAGCATTAGATGATGAGGGAGACGACAAAATAGAGCAAGTAACCAAGAGAGGGCTCTTAGCTCCTTCCATATTTGTCCTGGGATACCTGAGGTCAAGATCACAAGAAATCAATGATCATGATATTTCATTGAATGGTCTCTGGGCTACAAAAAAAAGGAAATACTAAAAAGCAAAGGGGAAATCCCACCTCCACGCGCCTCGCTATTCCAGTCCTGGAGACGCTTCAGACATAAAACCAACAAAGACTAAAAACACATACAGAAGCAAAGTTCTCGAACACATGTCCGCCATGAGATGTACAGGTAGAAAAGTAAGAAATGAAAGCTGATACAAAAGGCAAGGTGGAAAGAAATCCTTCAGGTCTATCCGGATATATGATCTTCATCTTCATGCATTCATATCGCGCACACTGCGTAGGCACCGTTCAAGGCGTTTGCCGCGCTCCTTTTCGCGTACAAGGGTGTCTTTGACAAACGCTCGGATGGCGTCACGACCGACCTTTTCCCGCCATGAGGTCCAGCCAGCGAGTTCGCCGACTACGACATCCTTATTCCACGAGATTTCTTTCGCCAGCCGAGTGGACTCGGCTTCGCCATCGCGGATCTTTTGTTCAAGGTCACGAACAGACTTTTGGCGAGACTCTTCGAATCCAGGCAGGTTGATGTTGAATTTTCGGGGGAGGGAGGAGGAGAGGAGAGAGGAGCGAGAGCGAGAGATATGGCGGTTTGTTGAAGAGAGGGAGGACATGAGGGCTAGTGGGCGGGATAAAGAGATGAGGATTGCGGCGGTTGTGTTGTCAATTGATGAAAGAGCTGCCAAATACTGAAGAAGAGCGGAAGAGTCGGATCTAGAGGTCGATAGGTAGGTAGCGTAACGGGCAAATGCCTCGATGTGTGAGATCGGAAGTGCATTGGTTGGCGCTCGAAGTGTAGCAAGGACAGATGAGCATATCATCACCGCATCAGCGAGATCAGATGTTGAATTCTGCAATGCGTGCCCTCGGCGAATTAGGGACCGCGTGTTAACATGTACACCGCGCACCATCTCCTGGGCGTGGGTAATAAACTGTTCCGTGTCCCGCATGCCCTCTAGTGACACCGGCGCATATTCATCTGCGATGGTCTCTGTGAGCACGGCAGCCTTGCGGTGCGATCGGTCGGCCACCATCTCAGGCTGAAGTTCTGGAACGAGGAAGAACTCCCATAACATTTCGTGAGTTGAAAAGGTTGGATGGGCAAGAAGTGTCTTCAGGAACCGATCCAGTCTTTCCTGGAGATCATGGAGCACAGACCGTGATGGCTTCGAGTGGATCTGGAATGGATTCCGGAAATCCGAGAGAGACGGCATGTAAGATCCCGGATGCTCCACTGCAAGCCATTTTGCCAGATTCTCAAAGTCAGAGAAATTGCGGCGACATGTCGTAACGGTGTATGTAGTCGATCCGGGCCGCGATGATGCCTCTGATTCAGTCGGAGGGAATGGCGCGCCGGATTTGAGAATGAAGCGCACGGTTGCATCCTCGACGAAGTAAGACCGAACGACCGTTGTCACACGACCCGAGGGATCTCCGCAAGCTGATGGAGGATGGGACAGCAAGATCAAATCGTCGATGCGATTTCGCACCTCATCATCCTTGGCCAATTCCACAGCCGTCAAACCACGGGCTTCTTTAACATGAACGTCGACTCTTGGGTCTAAAAAGAGGATGCGAACTTGATCAACTCGCCCGTACTTGCTGGCCACCATCAACGGGGTAAATCTCTTGTCGTTGGTTGCGTTGGGGTCGCAATCGCTGTCCAGCAATATGCGCCGGGTTATCTCAGGGTCTCCAACAATATGCAACAATGTATTCCCCTTCATATCAACATGGTCATCAAGCTGGAGAGGTTTGTTGTCACCTTGCGCCCATTGCGCCGCAGTCAAACCGGCTTGGACCATTGATTTGTATTCCGGATGATCATATGAGCGACAAAGCGCAAAGAGCGGTGTTTGCCCATGTTTGTCCCGTTGTCGCCATGGAATAATGTTACCAAGTCTCCCCAGCAGCGAGGGTGTGCTGAAAAGGTAATGAGCAACAGTACGACCATGGACGTCAGATTTGGTCAAGTAGGACGCAACCACGCTTATATTTGACTTTGCAAATAGGAAGTCTAAGAGGATCTTGACTATGTCGTTGTGTGCGAGTTGAACCGCAGCATTTAATAGCGTGGTTCCATCGGCATTGGTGTCTTGGATGATTTCTTCCAAGGGGTAGTATTCTTCTAGAGTCAGCAGGTACTTCAAAGCCTCAGCCTGACGAGCCTCAACTGCCATCATCGGTATGGAATGACCAGCAGGATCTTGCGTTCTTGTCAAGGTCTCAATCGAATTGTCACCTTCAATCCCACTGGCCATGGACCCAAGGGTTGTAGTCCGCGAGATGAATGAGACGGCTGATGATTCCGATAGGCTGCGGACGTCCATTGAAACCTTCTTGATTGGACGGTGAGGGTGTGATTCTTGGATAATCGAAAGATCATCCCAAGTTTGGAATGGGAACACGTGGGATAGCGGTGGTGCATCGACAACAGCTTCATCTTGGTATGGTTCGCCATTTGTATGACTTGTGTACGAGTTCTCAAGGAGATCATCCGGCTCATCAGCGTCATCTGTTTGGAACAGTACAGACTTTCGCTCCGGTTCCGGTGGAGTCGTATCGTCTATTGATTCATGGTCCCCGTTCGGTTCCAGTATAGATTTCATATCCGATATTCTGCCAGCCTTTGTTGCTTGCCACAAACGTCTGTTCCGAACGCTCGCACGCCGTAACCCGGCGGAATCGGTAACGAGATACATCAAAACAGCTTCGAATGTACTTAAAGCATATCCCATCTCGCCACTATCAACGTCGTCGATGTAAATAAAATGCTGCATGTACAACAACCGAGCTTGGAGATGCCGTATTTGAGAACGAATGACCACAACAAGCAACAACGACACCAAGACATCAGCATTGATCGTAACAGAGGAAGATCCCTTCTCAGATGCCGAGCCGTCGATTTGATCATAACTTCCCGGGAAGGAGATAACCTTCACTGTTCCAAGAAGAGTATTCAGCATATCATGGGGACATCGAGCGTCGTTGATCTTCCGAAATTCTTCCACAGCTCGCCCAAGTCGGCGAGTCAGTTCTCGCTTCCCTTCACGTCCACCTTCGACGGAAATTCCAACTTGGGACACATCAATACTCTCCATCTGGCGAATGCGGGAATCCAGCTCCGTATCCTCTGGTTGGCGGAATGAACAAAGACGAGGGAAAAGCAGTGGCTCGTGAACTTGCTCGGCAACATAGCGTTCGATTAGCCGCTCCACTAGAGGACCGGTGAGGTCAGTAGTCGCACCAAGCAACGATAATTGCTGCTTGTCAACGAGGCGGAAAAGATCAATGGCCGCAGTCACCGCGGTTTCCAAGCTTCGACGCATGAGATCTTCGTCGTCCTCGAAGTATTCCTCAGAATTGAAAGGCAATCGCCCTCTGCTGCGTGACGACCAGCTGCGGATGGAAGAGCTTTCATCTGTCCAAGACTCGGTGCGGGACAACTTATGGACGCGTTCACTGCCGGACGCGGATGGCGATCTTGAGGGTGGAGGCGGCAATGGTTTACCAAGTTCTTTTCCAAACTCTTTGAATAATCTTTCCAGGCCCGGGTGCATCTGCCTGGCAATCATTGGATAATTGGCTAGAAGCTCCCCAAAAGATTTGATCTCTTGTTTTGGTGGCGTCCCGATTGAATCTCCGTTTCCATATTTCTTGTCCGGCCTAGGTTGTTCAATGATCCCAGTGTCGGTTCCAGGGACTACCGCTGGTGAGATCTTCGCAGGGTCATACGTTCCGATCAATGGGCGAGAGATGTAGTAAATCAGCCATGGACGCGATTCATTGGACGGGCTGTAATATAACACGTCTGAAAGCAGTTGCGCCTGTGTGAGTGACTTGAATCCTATTATAGATAGCCATGTTAGCAAAATATTCAAGCGAGCGCATTTACCACCCAGTGCTCTCACCTTTGTTGCTGTATACTGAGTTGTCCTTGATGATCACCGTCCTTCCATTGAATGTCGTCACCTGCTTTGCTTTCCCTCGATTCTCTCGCACATTGTTCTCCTCTTTGGAATTCGCAGAGCCAGTGTGGATTGGGATACGGAGCACATGGCTCCCTAGGAACTCCTCCGACGCGACAAGATCGGAATATAGCAGGTTGGACTCCCGGTCGCGTGAGCCGATGAGAGACTCTGTCGTTGGAACTAGCAAGACCTGAGGCGCACACGCGATGTCAATTAGCCACTCCGGATGATCCGATGCAAGGTTCACAGCCTCCACCTACATGATTCTCGACCGGTATACACTGGCCCGGGACAGTGCTTCGGAAGAAGGCGCGAAGGAAAGGGTTTAGAGGGTGCATCCAAACGGTTTTGGACGGCCCAGTCGAAGGACTCCAGCAACCATCAAGGCGTTCGTTTCAAAGCTCCGCAGCAGGGGAAATGTGCGCCGTAAGATTTCGCGGGGAAGAGTAGCTCGCATCCAACAGGCAGCAGCGCAATGTGAAGTCAGAGGGGGTCGTTGAATTTAGTGAAAAGAGCTGCAAATAAGCTTGAACAAAATCACAATGCTAGATCGCAGAAAACAAGAAGGCACAAGGATAAGAGTTGAAGCAGAAGCACATGTGTTGCGGGTGAATCGAGAACGTGATCGACAAGTTGATTGGCGCTATACCGCATTAGGTAATTATTCCATTCAATACACTGCGACCTGGCCATGCTCTTGGATAGCTTCGGAGATTGCCTAATTTCCTAAAATATATTGTCAAAAGAGAACAAGTGTTGGACTCAGTCTCAACTTACCAATTTACAAAGGTCTTGCTAGTAGATTTTGTGTAGTCCTGTCATGATATTTCTAATATACAGAGAATAGATGGCAACAGGCATGCCATGTAGATAAAAACACAAAAAAGGACTGCCGAGGTCTCTCCGCACAATGCAATCCAGTACAGATATGCCACACAAGCAGACAGCCCAAAATAAAAACATGGTCTCTCCTGTAGAAAGAGATCAACCCAGTCTACGCACGTGTCTGCTGCGAGTACCACCGAACTTCAATCGGGTCGAGTCGGTCACTCGCGCAACAAGCCCCCGAATGTGTCGTCCTTCGTGGCCCAGTAAGACCTTTGTAAACGCATCGCGACCCTTTCCAAATCCGCGGTACACGACCTCCAACCGCTCGATCTCCATCAGGAAGCCCTTTTCCTGGATCTGATTCATAACATGAGCGGACAGTTGGTACGCAGGGTCGAATCCTGAGCGACCAGCTTTGCGGAAACCTATCTGACCACACCCAATGGACAAAAGGGGGCTACCGTTTGGTCGTGTCAAGGTGAGGATTGTGTTGTGTTTGTGGCAGTAGACGTGCAGGTGGTGGGGAGGAGCTCGGTCGGCGTAGGGATTTTTGATCATGTCGGCTTCGAGACTTTCGGCCATTCTGGAGTAGTCAGAGCTACCGCGCGAGGATGGAGCACCTGACCTCCTGCCCTGCATCATTTGTGTGATTGCAGAAAGCGGCGATGAGGAGCCGGAAGGTGAGCCGGGTTCTCGATTCAGGATCTGTTTCTCAATGTCGCTACCATCGTTGCGCGCAGAACGCGTGCTTTGGTGGGAGAATGGACGTGTGATGCTCAATGAGGGGATTCGAGGCTGAGATTGGCGGCATACTGAGGGCAATGCCTTGGTCAACTTGCTCATCGAAAAGGAGCTCATCGTGGTGGCTGGGATTTGCAGCGGCAAAGGAGGAATATCAAACGAGGAAGCCGACACTGAATTATAAACAGCTGATCAATTAAGCACAAATCACCAATGCGAGGTGCCGAGATGACCACAAAGCGCGGGTGATGTAGAGCCGTTGTCGGACCGAAGGGAAACGCTGGAAGTTTTTCGAAGTCTTGGCATCTGCACTTTTTCCTTTCCCCGAGATCTTTGCCTCCTCCCCATCACCTTCTTCATATCGCGTCCAGGCTGGGCTGGAATCCATCTTTCCTCTACCCCCTTATTTAATTCTATTTTGTTCTCCTATCCCATTAACGCTCTAGAGCATGATTCCGGCCAACATGTCCGCGGCACGAGCCGTTTCCTTGCGGTCCCAGGCACCGTCCCTCCGAGCATCATCTCAGCGGTTGTCTCGCGCCGGATCATATTCAACCGTCGCAGCTCAAACATTCACTCACTCTCCCAAGAGCCACAGAGCCGTCCTTCAATCCCCTTCCCACCCCATCTCTCAACTTGTCTCACCATTCGCTGCTCTCCCTTTGACGCGGTCTTTCCACGCCGCAACCTCCCTTTGGCAACAACAGCAGAAGCAACAGGAAGGCAAGCAGGGCGAAGACGCAAAGTCCGAACCACAGGACGAGGAGTCCAAGAAGGAGAAAAAGAGAAGGAGGAAGAGAAGGTTCCACCGCCACCCCATGGAGACAAGTCTCCTTGGCAAGTCTTCCGTGAGACTCTGCAGAGCGAGTTCAAGGCCTCCAAGGAATGGGAGGAGTCTACTAAGGCACTCGCCTCCTCGGCTCACCAGTTCACTGAGAATGAGAATGTTAGACGTGCGCGCGCTGCTTACGAGGCTGCATCAACCGCCACGAGCTCCAAAACCTCCACAGCCTTCAAGACGACAGGTCAAGTCATTGGCAAGGGAGCTGCTTGGACATGGAACACCAGCGTTGTGAAGGGTGTTCGGAAGGGTGTCAACGCAACCGGAGAGGGCCTCGAGAAAGCCACGAGACCCGTTCGGGAAACCGAAGCGTACAAGAGTGTGAAAAACGCCATTGATGATGGCAGCAGCTCGCGCTATGGCGGTTGGGTCGAGAAAGAGGAGCGTCGCAAGCAGCGCCAGCTCCGAGAGGAGCAGGAACTGAAGGCTGGGAAGTCTCTCCGTGTCGAGGAGAGAGTTGAAGACCCCAAGTAAGTTTCGATGGCGGCAAGGTTTCAATTTTGGCTTTTCTAACTGATTTATCTCTAGCGCCGGTACCAATATCACTCTCCACAAAGATTCCGCCTGGAAAGACTCCTGGAGAGACTTCAAGGACTCCAACCCCATGATGCAGAAGCTCTTCTCGATCAAGGAGAACTACAACGAATCTGAGAACCCCCCTAATCAGCACAGCACGCAGCATCTCCGATCGCGTTGCTGGCTTCTTTGCCGAGAACGAGACCGCCATGGTCATCAAGAAGTTCCGGGAGATCGATCCCAACTTCCAGATGGAGCCTTTCCTGCGCGAAATGCGTGATTACATGTTGCCAGAAGTCCTTGACGCTTATGTCAAGGGTGACGTTGAGACACTCAAGCTCTGGCTTTCCGATGCTCAGTTCCATGTCTATGCTGCTCTTGCTAAGCAATACACCACTGCCGGACTCAAGTCGGATGGTCGCATTTTGGATATCCGTGGTGTGGATATTTCTCACGCCCGTATTCTGGACCCCGGTGACATTCCTGTGTTTGTCGTCACTTGCCGGACACAGGAGATTCATGTCTACCGCAAGATAAAGACTGGTGAGCTAGCCGCTGGTACGGATGACAAGGTGCAGCTGGTCACCTACGCCATCGGATTGACTCGTATCCCTGATGAAGTCAACAACCCCGAGACTCGGGGTTGGAGATTGATCGAGCTGCAGAAGGCTGCCCGTGACTACATCTAAGAGCGCAATCCTGCCCCTCTTCACCCTATACTGCCACATTTTTCTCTAGCTTATTGTCGGCATATTCCCTCGTGGATCTTACCCCCTCTTGCATCTTGACTTCCACTCCACCCTTTTCAACTGTACAATACAACTGTTTGATATCAAGCCAGGTGGATCCTGGCACCTGTTACGGTTACGCCTGTTCCAGTGACTCCGAACTCGGGCCTTCGCTGGTTAATCGGATTTTCTTTTCTTCATGTATTAATGCTTCATTCGTCTGACGTTTTGCCTCAAGTCTTACTTTTGAGGACCTACGACTCAGTCCGCTCAAATCTGACTGTTCCTTCCCATAGACTAGGACGCGTTGGATTTTACCTGATGGCATTTCTCTGGGCCTTGAGGTGTTCTACTGGCGTCTTTGTGCATTTTGTTTCCACTCTCCCCTCGCCACTCTGTATGACTGCATTGGGTTATTGGTTTTGGTTTCTGTTGGGGACAGAATGGGCTCCCCATCATATGAAGCTCCTTGAAAATTGTGTAAATATATAAACAAACATTTTTGGCTTGAATTATTTTCGCTATATATTGTAGTTATCTTGAGATGTCGACCCACTGTAAAAAAATATATATACACATACCACCTCCTCATTGCATTCCTTATACTTCTATACTATTTGCGCCCTGCTATCTGTTCTAACACCCGATGCAGATAAACAAGAAGCAATCTTCACGAACAAGTTTTTCCTTCTGAGCTTGGACGACCAGTCAACTTCGGATAATGACGAGGACGAGAAAGAGGACAATACCGAGCCCTCTCCCGTGACTAATAGAGCAACGGGGTTGAGGGAAACGCCTATCAGCAAAAAGAAACAGCGCAGACGATGATGATGAGTGTTCATCAGACACAAAGCCATGTTATTTACGAAGGCAGACTTCTACAAATCTGGATTCAAAGAAAAGGTAACATAGAACGAACGACTAGTGATTTGGAATTTGACGGGGATGAGTACCATGACTCTACTGCCGAGGTAAACATGGCAGTCAAGAGGTGTTCTACTATGGACGTGTCCAGGAGGAAAGGAAGTGACATTTTTTTTCTTTCTAAGGAACGCTTTGAAAAGTGAATTTGCTACATGGTATATCAGATTGCGTCTTTCAATTTCATGGCATCAATCATCGAACCAGAGATTTACTTCTGGCCTCCAGCACCGGCACCGGCGCCACCGCCGCCCATCATGTTACGAGCCCTAAGTCGATTGTCAGTAATGCTAATGCGATTTCCGAGGCCCAGATATTTCATAGACTTACATATCCGCGATGTTGGGGTCGCTCATCAGGCTGGACATGTCAGGCATGCCGCCACCCTGACCAAAGTTTTCGGCCATCTGGCGGAGGCGGGGGTTGCTCATCAGGTTGCCAAGCATATCAGGGTTGCTCATGAGATTCTGTGCCATGCTGGAGAACATCGGGTTGCTCATCAGGGAGCCCAGGTCGGGCATACCACCAGCACCACCAGCGCCGCCAGCTCCGCCACCAAGCATGCTAGCCAGGGAAGACAGGTCAGGCATGCCACCGGCACCACCGCGCGAGGCACCAGGAGCAGTGTCCAGTTCCTCAGATGGGGGCTCGGTGTTCCGGTTGGTCTCTTCAAGCTTGCGTCTCGATGTCTCCAATCCACGCTTCATGGCCTCACTGCCACCGTTGCCCTCGGCCTCAATACCCTTCTCGTATGCCTCCTTGGCGGCATGGTAGTCTCCCATATCGAAGCGAGCGAGACCCAAGCGGCTCCATGCCTTGGAGTACTTGGGATCGGCGGCAGCAGCAACCTCTGCATCCACCGCGGCCTTCTCGTGCTGGCCGGAAGCGGAAAATGCGGCGGCGCGGTTGGAGAGATAGATGGGGTTGGCCGGGGCGATCTCGAGAGCCTTGGTGTATTGCTCAATGGCAGCGGCGTAGTCCTTCTTGGCCATGAGAGCATTGCCCTCGGACTTCAGCTTATCGGATTCAGGTGTGGGTACACCGGACTTGGGCTTCTCCTCCTGGGAAGTCTGAGCTCCTGCAGCCGATTGCGGGGTTGACTTGTTGCGCAGCTTCTCGTAGACGCTGTAGATTCCGGCCAACGATTGTCCGCCCACGGCATCCTTCACAGCGGCCTCATCAGTAGGGTCAACTTTGAAGGTATCCGCGATACAAGACTGGGCGATTTCAATAGACTCAGCATCGTCAGCGGTGAGGGTGCCATCTTTCAGGCTGGAGCCGAGGAAATCGATAATGGCCAAGGCCAAGCGCTTGTTGCTTTCTGTTGGAGCCTGCCATGAATCAGTACCTTGAATCGATCGCGACAGGTGAGAAGCTTACCATTATAGCTGTCTTTCAATAATTACTGCGAACGAAAGATAAACAACGTTCAGGAGTGACCGAGATGGAAGAAAAAAAGGTGAGGCAATGCGGGGGATGAGCTTTTGCACGTGATCGTAGCTTATCGTTTCCCCGGTCTGTTTCCATCCACGTCGTTTGGACTTTGTTACTTTACATTTGAATTTGTGTTCTGGGGTTCTTGTCCGCACTGCTGACGGAGAATTGGTTCTTTGGAGATGACTCCATGTGAGCTTCATTGTCCATATTAAACCCCTGAACCTGACCTGAGCCATGTACTGGCCTCATGGAGTTCCCAGGGTCTACGCGGTCAATGGACCCGATATTGCCTATGCCTCTTCTGACGAGGATCGCGAAATCCTCAACACCACTCCAACCAATGAGCGCAGTACTTTGAACGATATAGTGGAAGCAAGAGGAGAGGACGGTCAACATGAGTCCGCAGACACCCAAGCCCTTGAGCCGCAAAACAACTCGCCCCCGGACACCAGCAAATCTGAATGGGGAGATGAATCTATTAAGGGAATTTGTGTGTCTCGATCTGGCCAGATGTTTGCCACAATGTCAGAGTCATCAATTGCTCTTTGGCAGACTAGGGTATGTCGACAGCGACGTTATGGTTCATGGGAAGTCCGAGCTGGCGACTGACAATTCTGGCAGCCTACAGCAGTAGTTACGGCTATCTCTCGATCTCGATTCTCGTTAAAAACATACGGTCCGAACGTTTCAGTCCTTATGCACCCGGATTCCACGATCCTTGTTGTACAGACCCTCAATGGGTACCTACTCACATACTCGGTGGCGGTGGATTCAACGACTCAAGTTTACCAGCAACGATTCGATCACTCTACACACCCTCGTCGTCAACAATTAGCCCGATTTTCCGCAGTTGAAGAGGCCAATGTAGTTGGGGATATTACCATCCGCTTCCGAATGGCCATCAAAATCGAGTCGGGAATCGTTAAGGCGCTGGCGCTAGATCAAGAACTTGTTGTCGCCACTGTAAAACCACCTGCTATACAATGCATTCGGTGGATGCCTGAAGCCGGAGGAGCACAGACTACATCTGAGCTATTGAGTCGCATCCTAGGGATCTCGAAGAAGGTCTCGATCGTGGACATGGTTTACGATCGTGCGATGAATCTCCTCATCTGGATCACTAGCAGTGGCCAGGCATATGCCGTGCAACGAGATACGGGCTTGCAGCAAGATCCCGAAGCAGCTAAGAAACTCTTCCACGGACATTGCTTCCATAATCCGAAGGATGACAGCGAGAACGCCGTGAAGGTGACCGTAAATGCACGCTTCTCTCTGTTGACTGTGAGCTGTTCGAATGGCGAGGTCTTGGTTTACACCGCAAAAGATTACATGGGGAACATTCCGCTTTCACAAAAGCTCCAGTTACCAGCATCGCCCACAACCACCGGGGCTTTGACTTTTATGAGCTATTCCCCTGATGGATATTGCCTGTTTGCTGGTTTCGAAAACGGCTGGACAACATGGAGTGTATTTGGGAAGCCTGGAGGAAATAGCTTTTCGGTGGACACCGCGTTGGCAAAGGCCAATTCGGAGGATTGGTTAGCTGGGGTGTCAGACGGGTGTTGGATTGGCGGTGGGTCGGATATCATTCTGTCTGGAAAAAATGACCGTCGCCTGTGGGTTCTGGAGACAGCCCGCAGTGCCTTGACTGGTTGCTTTTCGTCTGCAAACTTGGCTAGAGGCCTACTGCAGACCAGTACTGAGTTTATCCTCTACCGCGGTCACGATCTTCCAGACCTTATGACGATCTCAGGAAAGGATTCGTTGTGGCATCATGGCCAGTATCCTCCAGCATATCTTCATTCCCAGTGGCCGATTCGATCTTGCGTCGTGTCTCAAGATGGACGGTATGTTGCAATTGCAGGTCGGCGTGGCCTCGCACATTACAGTGTCACCAGCGGCCGATGGAAGGTATTCGAGGATTCAAAAGCCGAAAACTCTTTTGCTGTGCGAGGAGGCATGTGTTGGTATGGCCACATACTGATCGCAGCGGTAGAGAGTGATGGGTCATACGAGGTACGATATTTCTCCCACTTGTGTTGGTTCCATGCATGACTAATTTGGATTGAAAGATTCGTCTTTACTCGCGTGAGGATTCTCTCGGTAACAATTCGATTATGTTCATCGAATACCTCCCATCACCAGTTGTGTTCATTGGACCATCTGGGGAAGATTCTCTCTTGGTTTATACATACGATAACATTCTGTACCATTATATCATTAATTCGTCACAGCCTCAGATCACTCTTGTCCCTGTTGGACAAATCGCTTTCAATGGGATTGTTCGGGCACCCTCTCGAGTTCGATCGATTAGCTGGGTATTGCCGGAGGAGCAGATGCGTGAGTTAACCTTTTATTTCATGCATGATACGAGCACACCATTGACAATAAAGCAGGAAACGGTGATCCATCCCAAGACGTGAAGGTCGCATCCGTCCTTCTTCTTGTGGACGGCAATTTGGTATTGCTGCAGCCCACGGTGTCAGATGCGGGCGACCTCAAATATGATATGCGCGTCATATCCCATGATGTCGAGTATTACATCTTGATGCGCGACCAGGTTTCCTTCAACTTTTCCTCGCAGGTTGATGAATCCCTACCCGCCAGTCCTTCTGTTGATATGGCACTAGAGCCACCTCATCGAAGTCTCTCGCTCCGGGATTCTCTTTGGATGTTCCGGGGCCAAAACTTGCTAGCTTGGAATGATGTTCACGATGTTTTGCGGGAGGAGCTGGTGCCGGCACCACTCAACATCCCTTTGGACTTCTATCCACTGTCCGTATTATTGAACAAAGGCATTGTGCTTGGCGTTGAATCGGAAACGATGCAACGACGCGATGTGACATTCACTGTTCTAAAATTCGCCATCCGAGTAAGTTACTTTCTCTATCGATAACATCTTGTACTGACCTGTGCGTCTCAGACACACCTCTTCTTACCATATTTCCTCCAATATGGCCTCACCAATATTGGGACACCTGCGGCTCTCGCTCTCTGTCGCCACTTCTCTCACTTGTCTTATTTTGCTCATGGATTGGAAATCCTACTTCACCACGTGCTTGACGACGAAGTGGATAATGAGAGCCGAGCAAACAAAAGCGAGGATCCACAAGCACGAGCAGAACCACTACTCCCAACCGTAATTGCTTTCCTTCAAGCCTCGCTTCCTCCCAGGGATTACCTTGAGATTGTTGTACAATGTACACGGAAAACAGAGCTTCGATCGTGGCGCACACTCTTCACCTACCTACCCCCACCCAAGGATCTATTTGAGCAGGCCTTGAAGCTTGACTCCCTCAAGACTGCAGTCGGATACCTCCTTGTACTGCAGGCATTTGAGGATGAGGAAGAAGGACACGATGGCCGCATCGAAGAATACGTTGTTCGTTTGATTGCTCTCGCTTCCCAGAAGGGAGACTGGGAGTTGTGTGCTGAGCTGGCCCGGTTCCTTATTGCTCTGGATGCCTCGGGCGAGATGCTCAGGCGCGCAATTTCCCGAGTTGGTCTGCGATCCAACTCCCAGTCCTCCGTGAAAGGCACGTTTCCTGGCTCGGCACCCCGGTTTGGTCCTGCCGGTGTCCAAGGCCTTGGCTTGAACCTCCCAATCAGGTCGCCATCATGGGCGTCTCTTTCCCCGACATCGTCGCTTTCACCCCTTCCAAGCCGGCAAGATGGTGATGTGTCAGATGAAACTTCACATTCAGTAGATGAGCAAGGTAGATAATTAATTGAAATTTGTTGATAGTAAGAACAGCGGAATACTAAGTTTATAGTAACCCCCGTATACACCACAGCATAGTCCATACAAAAAGAAAAGAATCCCGCAATTTGACAATTTGGAATTTCACTAAGCCGAAGATCGTCCATACCATAGACTTAATCAAAACCTACAAAGTACGTCAAACCAGCCATTGCCGGGGTTCTCAAATAAGGCCGGTCAGGTTCGTTGACATCTGCCTGAATTGCATTCTCTTTGCTCGGTAGACAAATAGCAATCCACACGCGACGAACAAGAGTCACCGGGACATTTATGTTGAGATTTAGTTGATACATGGCCATTCGTGTTTGACACTGCATAATCACTATCGACGACTTGGCACTTGATACTCTCCACAAGACCGCCGACATAGGCTATAGGGCCTCTATCTGATTTCGATGCCTCGAACATGGCAGAATGGGAGCGATCGAATGCTACTATTTCAGTTTCGCATCTTTTATCACTGCCACAGATACTCAACATCAATCGTATTGTACTGGGATATGACAGACACTTACCTATAAAGAGTGCAGATGTTCTTCTTGCCTGATGCTGCCTCGCATGGGATATATACCGACCCAACGTTGCGATTACTAGAACACATTAGCTCCGTTTTGTAAGGAGAAAACGAGGTAGCCTTACTAGGTTCTGTCAAGTGCTTGACATGAGCCATCAAACGGTAGTTCCTGATTGTGAGCCCAGAAGACCTGGTTCGTGTAGATACGGGGTTTCGTGGAAACATCTGTCTGTCCCAAAGCCATCAGAGGGTGGAAGAGTACGGGAGCAAAAGTTATGACACTGGAGACTAGCATGATGGAATATCGAGCTTATAAACCCTAAGAAGATGAATTGAGTTGATCAAGTATATTGGCGAGTGGATACACGACTCTATATACCATGCCGGGTTTTGGTCCGGGTTGATGTGGGTGGGTCTTGTGTAAGGGTCACTCCACTGAAGCAATCCACCGGAGAATAATACGAAAGAGGCTAGGAATACCTGGCATGAAATGGTTACAATAGGGCATCCTACCAGTGTCCAAGGTCTTGGCTTGGATTATGATGTTCCTCGATGGTCAATCATGATCTACAGAAAAGAGAACTGAAGGGACTAGCATAAACAAGATCGGGGAGTACGAAGCTGCAACAGATCCGAAGAATCCGGACCAGAATCCTCAGCGAAACAGCTTTTATGAGTTTATACTCCTTTAATTGGCCAGATTACCCTTGCTTTATTTGATAAAATCAACAGGAGCAGCGGAAGGAAAAGGAAAATAAAGGATTTGTGAAAATCATATAGTATCATTGTAAAAGAACTTTCTACTTGTGGACATCAACTTACCGCATAATGTCAGCTGCATTCGCTAAACGCCGCTATATCAAATCATCAGTTTGAAACTTACCAAGGGTTATCTGGGCAAAGGACTATTCAAGGACACAACAGATGTGTACAGAACCCGCCTACATCACATAGTGGGATTAAGCAGTTCCAGGTGCAGGGACCGGCTCAATATCAAATCGTAGGTGTATATGGTACAGACGACCGAGAGTGTGAACTCTAGCGATGCGATGCGTACCTCTCTCCCAAGCCCCAACAACAAGACATGCCGCTGCATTCCCTAGCTTGGTACCTAGAATCTCTCGATAGCCCTCAGTGCCGTGCTCCCATACCTGACTCTGAATTCGATCAACTCTAGGCCAATCAATGCCATGCCTGGGGTATAGAATTTCCTGCACGTAGGGAAGGGTCTCCTCATTTTGAACATTAGTAAAATAAAGATATTTGAGGGTATCGATGGGGTAGTCAAACTTATATTGAGCGAGAGCGATATGCGACCAATTCGGCCCGGCGTATCGGTAAATACACTCACCAATTATAAGGCCCTCTGCGAAAGAATGTTGATACTCAGTCTCCTTTTTGTAGCCATCCTTGTCATAACCGCTGAGTGTGAGTCTTGCAAAACGGCACCTTTTACCTTTTGCTCGGAACCCTAATTTTTCCAAATCCTCCTGGATGGGTAGAGGTGGGTCATCAAACTGGTTCTCCGAACAATGAAATCTCTTTTTCTTATCACTGTGATTGAGTAATCCGAACAATGTATGTTCTGATAGTTCACAGGGACATTCGTCTCGAGTTGGGTCAGCAATCCATGCTTCGTATGCAGCTCCCTTTCGGTAATACTCGGCGACTTGTTCGTCCGACACCGGGGGACTATTGTCATCACTTGCATCGCCAGGCGGCAAAGGGGGCAACTGTCCATCACTGGATATACTATTGTCATCTGGAATGGGATAAGGCACAAGGGATTCGGCGGGCTCTGCGGATTTAGAGGCTAGACGTCGGCGGGTTGGGGAGCGAGAAGAGCTAGAGTCATCCACCTCGTTAAGCCCACGTTTGAAGAGCTCTGCTGGTTTTTCATCTGCCATCTTGAGTCCGAGTTTTGCTTTGTTTTATGTTGTGTAGAAAAGAGCGGGAATTTCGGGTGTAGTTAATTGTGTCTTGTAATAATTCTACCTCAAATGAATACTTGTGACGAGGAAAGGAGAACCCCGATACTTATATACTCCTGGTGAACTGGCCTTCATCATTAGATAAATGAGGGCTATTAAAGGACAAAACAGAGAATCCCTTAACGAAAATAGGACATCCAAGAGCCAGAGCAAGCCATGAAGATGCCAAAGAGCGCGGTGATTTGGTACAAAGAGAGCAGAGACCCACGACAAAGAGTAGAGATACATCCACAAAGGGTTTAAGGTAGTATAAAGCCAAAAAAGCCTCCTTTGTTGGAACGATACCATTCTAATCTATATATTATATTTGTCCTGAAGCCAGGGGTAAAATAACAATACCAGCTATCAGTCTACCATTAACAGCCCGGTGTGAATCTTTAATGTGAAGTTTGGGACAAGAACCCTCTAGCTGCACAAGGAAGGTTTATACAGAAAGAAAATGTGAATTGCAGTGCCACGAATAGTAATTGGCTAACTTGAATGGAGACAGGTGGATAGATAGAGTTAAGAAGAGTGCGTCTTTCCAACTATGTAACCCGACTAAATAAGCACTTGACTCAACCCAACCACGACACTATCATATCCCATCATAACAGATACAAACCATAGCTATGATCTATGTATCTAGACTTTCGATTCTGGAGGGGTAATTCCTGCAGGCCAGCGGGTTAACCGAGAGCTGCCAGAAACAATCCGCAAAGCAGCAAGCTGCCTCCGGAGTGCCCCCCAAGGCCTCCAAGTATTTCTCCAAGAAGCGCATATTGACGGCCATTTGAACAATACGAGAAAGAAGAGCACAATAAAGTAAAGTAAGCGCAGCCGGGCAGGCAGCAAAGAGCTCATCTGTGAGCGCAGAGTGGTGTGCCTCACCAACACCACCGGCAATGCCAGCTAGAACAGCTTCTTTCACGCTTTGTGAATTTTCCCCTTTAGTAACATCAGCCTCTGCACAGGAAGACACTGCATGAGTCCCTGTGTGTGAACTTTGTGGTGTAAGCTTAATGGAGAATGCACTGGTGGGAGTGGAGGGATCCTGGTGTCATTAGTAACTTGAGGAGACAGAGCAGCCTTGCTAACAACTTCGCACATTGTAAAGCCCTCTTGACTTAAGGAAATATAGCTAGAAGCCACAAGAGAGGGGTTCTCCGGATCGGAGTTTACTGCAGGATAGCGCATAATGTTCCTAAACAAAGTGAGCATAGACTTGCTGGCACATGAAACGGGAGAAATGAATCATTAATTCTTGTAAAGGGCAGCTTACCACAACAAAGAAACAGTGAATGTGAATCAAGCTTAAGAAGTGATAGAAAATGGAAGAAAAAAACGGTACTTACCACATTAATCATCTGCTTCAGCCATGGAGATGACTAGATGTTTGTTGGCCGCAGTCCCCGGGGGATTTCATCGTGGTTCTCGGGATTGTCCTCGTCCTTGCCCGCGCGGGATATCGTTCGCCGCAGCCCGCGCGGGATGGCTTTTGCTGTAGCCCGCGCGGGCTGATTGAAGGGAATTAATAGAGATGTATTCCTCGGCTGCGCATTATGCTGGAATTGTAAAGATTAGTCCATACCTCACCGTATGAATATCTTTTCGAGTCAACCTGTCGAGGTTAAGACATCCCCCCATCTGTTAGTTATCCATAAAACCCGAATTCCACCGAGGTTGCTATGTACAAAATCCACCGTTGTCCCTGGAGCAATCCTCGGCCGATATCTCACTTCCATCCTCCTCTGAGTCTAGAACTTCCTTCGCGAGCGCAGTAACCATGTCCCCAGTTAGAAAGAGGGAATATGCAATGCGCGCACATTTGTGAACATTTCGCGAGCGCGTGCACCTCCTTGTCGAGTATTGCCAAGCGCCCTCAAGTCGGTGATCCCGGCCCTAAGATCATGACCAATTTCGGAGTTCGCCCACACAATGCCTGCGTTGAGACGCTTGCCGATCCGGCCCATGCGGAACATATCATGGGTCAAGACAGTAGCGCCAATTCCGTGAGGATTGGCGTTGCACAGTTGGATAACTTCCTCCTCGGTATCAAATGGATAAACAGTCGCCACAGGCCCAAAGACCTCCCGTGTCACGAGACAATCGAGACGAGTGTTGCTCAGGACAGTTGGATGGATCCAGAAACCATCCCTCGGAACTTCAGAGGGAATATGGCCGGTCTCGAACGTGGTGGCTTGTTTAATAGCGTCCACGAGGTAAGATCGGACCTTGGCATAATGCTCTGGGGACATAACTGGACCAACTCCCCTGTGCAGGTGGTAGTCCACTTTGACGATGTCAACGAGGCTTCGCAGAAACTGGCCATAAATCGATCGGTGGACGTAGATGTGAGAACCGCTGAGAGAGAGTTGTCCGCTGTTCTCAAACGCCGCGGAAGCTGCGACAGCAGCCGCCTGCCTCATATTGACATCGGGGAAAACAATAGTAGGGCAACTGCCTTTGATTTCCAGAAACAAGATCTTGTGAATCTCGGGAGTGAGTTTCTCTCGAATCTGAATGCCTGTTTTGACACCTCCAATGAACAAAACCCCATGAACAAGCGGCGAGCCAACAAGGGTAGAACCAGTGCAGGGCCCGTCTCCGAAAATGAGGTTCATAACACCAGGTGGTAAGTTTGCACGTCGGAGGACTTCGGTGAACACTATATTCAGGGTTAGTATATCCTTGTAAGTAGATCAAATGAGATGATCACTTACAAAAGGCAGTAATGCTAGCCAATTCACTAGGCTTGACCACAGCTGTGCAACCGAATGCAAGGCAGGGGGCAATCTTCGAGGTCAAAAAGTACAGGGGCATGTTCCAGGAGGTGATAATGGCGTAAACGCCCACTGGCGATCGGTGCTCGTAGGTCAGAGTAGATACTCCAAGGCTTTTGTTGAGATGGACCTGATCGTCGTTCTCGAGGATGTACTTGGCGAAGTAGCTACCAAGGAAAAAAAAAGGTTAGATCATCTCATATGTAGAAAAGCAACGAACAGTTGACGTACCGGAAGTGGTCAATTGATGCTTCAACTTCGGCTCGAGCCCGAAAGAGAGGCTTGCCTTGGTCAGTGGTTTCCCACAACGCAAATAGTTCTTTCTTCTGTTCCAGAAGCGACGCAATTCGGAGGAGAATTTCGGACCGGAACTGAACTGTGGTCTCAGACCATTCTCGGAAAGCCCGAGATGCGACATTGGCGGCGTATTCAACGACGTTGGTAGGGCTGCGGGGCACAATTGCCAGGAGTTCGCCCGAGCCAGGGGAGACTGAGTTAACCCATTCCCAAGTGTGCTCGGCGTCAAGGTATCGGTTCTCGATGAAGTTCTGCACCTTGATAGCTTCCCTTGCAGGGTTTTTGAGGTAGCTCGTAACCCGCTGGGGGTGTCGAGATTCCACACAGGCGGAATGCTAGGGGAAGCCATGTTGCGATGAATGGGGAAAGAAAGAAAGTGAGGAGGACCGCGCGGGAGAACGCGCGTTTAAATAATCTTATGTTTGTTTGCTACCTACCTAGCTAGGTGTTGTATTGTTTGTTTGTGTTCGACCTCTCAGGTAACATCAACCTAATCTTTTTACCTGATAGCATAAGGACCCAGACAAACTCTCTGCCTGAGACAGTGAAATGATACCTGCCCCGAGACCTTGGCCTGTATACACACAGCATTCCGGTCGACACTACTGCCGTCAAGCTCCTCTGGTCTCCCCACCAGAAATTTACAGAAACTTCATCAATGCATCCAGCGTCTATCAAGCGGATCGCATCTGCATATTGCAGCTTTCTCGGAAGGTATTCAGAATGCCTTCACCAGAATGTTTGGCTATCCGTTTTTATTTCCTTCAAAGATTGTTTCTCGAATAAGCCAACGCTCTCAAGTTGTCATTCATCCTAAACGGAGAGGGGAGATATGTCGTAGGTGATAAAACTAAAGAGATTCACGTATAATATCCTCGTGGTCTTTGAGCCTTTGACAGTTGACTCAATCCAATGTGTTCCACAATGCCATTGTCAAGGTTTGCTTTGTTTCCCATAAATATATCTGCTTACTCGAGCCTATAACTCTGGCTGAGGGTGCCCTGGTTGACTATTCCACTTATCGAACGCACTATATCATATAATGGCGTTTAAGTATCTTCAGTTCGAGCCATATGGGGATAAGCTAATCCGATGGATGGAAAATACCAACGAACCCGGATGCCCGGTTCCCAGATCTACTCTCACCATATGGACCCTGCCAGAGCCTATTCTCTGGCATAGCGAGCATGAAAGGGAATGGCTGTCACCAGAACAGATTGACTGTATTGTGGGTAGTAGGCTGCCACTTGGACAACTAATTCCAAATGACATGTATCCTATAGAATCCCCGTGTCTACGGCAGTCAATCATCAAGACCCGGGGTGGGGTCACAGGGTTGATTGGGACGATTGGACCAGGCTTGCTTTTCATCTACTCTATTAGACGACGTTCTGCGTCGAATGATCCGCACGTGTCTGAGCTTGCCAAGATTGCCTATGAAACGCATTTTCCGTTGGAGAGCGTGAAGCATGTAATTGTCAACGAGGTACAGGAAAATGCAACTGAACCATTTATCGAGGAGCAAATCTACCCATCCCGTAAGGAACTTATCTATCCTTCTGCAGAGCCTCAAACTTGGGATTACGCCACACCGGAGTTTAGGGCTATTATGGGTACGCCTATCGGTAAGGTTGTCGGATCCTTCATTCTGGGTTCGTTTGGCCAGGGGGTGAAACGGGTTTCCCGCATTGTTACTCTCCAAAGAGGCCCTGAGCTGCATAAACTAGACATTCGTTTTGATATCGAGGATGTTTGAAGTCTGCGCTGAACTTTCCCTCCTAGAGGTTGACTGGGAAATGTGGATCAATTCGATGAATTTGCCTATTTTCTTTAGGATAGAGTGAAATAGAGCGGAGTGATTAGTTTGTTTTCGATTTTCACGTTGGAAATCTATTCAAATCTTTCAGTTAAACACCCAGTTAACTTTCCAGTAATTTCCAAGGTGGTTGTAACGTGCAAGCACGTTAAGGTACTTGCCCTGCTGTACCCGTCTTCAACAATCTGCCGAGCACCCTTGGCGAACTGAAAACGAAACTAGGCGCCAGGGACAAGATTCGAAGAATACCTCACATATGGGGCGCCTAATACACACCCCTCCCCACGATGACCCTGGCCATGATATTTTTGGTTGCCTTTTGAGGGGAGAGATAATATATAGGTTAGGTAGGCCATCATTAATCAATTCCAGCCAATTCCAGCTTGTTCCTTCGTGATAGGCAATATAAAAATGAAAACAAGTCGACATGTCATATGTGTCATATTTGGTAGGTGAATCATTAGCCAATGCCATCTTCAATATGCGCTATTTAGGCCCCCCGAGTTAGGTTGGTGGTGACCCCATTCCTGCAAGGAGGATACACAATGTCACAATGGGTTAGCTGGAAGTCCATGATATATGAACTATTAACGACCTTTTCCCATCAGAGAACCATATACTGTCAACCCTAAACTTGTGATTTACTCTGCTTAGGGTGTAGAAAAATCTCTCAAGAGACAATGGTTCCAGTAATACCTGCTATTGCTTTGGTGGCCGGTGTATTCTCCCATCTTGCGTTCTTTCGCATCGGAGAACATCACCTATACGGGATGCGCTACACTTTGACTGCCGTTGGAAGTTTGACATTTTCGATATTTCTACACAGTCAGTTCTCGGATAAGGTGGTTTTAGAGTCTGTTATTTGGTCATGCTCACTTGTAGGGAGCTACCTAGCTGGGATTTACGCAAGCCTGGTTGCCTACCGGTGTATATTCCATCCTCTTGGCAATTTTCCGGGTCCTCTGGGATGTCGCATCTCCAGCTCTTGGTTTGCAACGCATTTAATAAAGCAGGATGCATTCCGCCAACTGGAAAAGCTACATTCCAGATATGGGCCCTTCCTGCGAATAGGTTCGAACGATATATCAGTGGCTCATCCGAAAGCCGTGCAAGCCATCTACGGTTCTGGCTCAAAATGTCGGAAGGCAGCCTGGTATGACCTGGGACACCCCATGGTCTCGCTGCAGAGCACTCGTGACAAATCCCTACACGACCAGAGACGTCGTGTTTGGAGCGGGGCCTTTGGGGACAGGAATATGCGGGACTACGAAAAGCGCATGGCCCAGTATCGAGCTCTCCTAGTGAAGGCAATTGACGAGTCTAAGAATAAACCATTTGATGTGACGAAGTGGTTCAACCTATACACATTTGAAGTGATGGGCGATCTCGCGTTTGGTGCTTCATTTGGCATGCTCGAGACAAGCAAAGAACATGAGGCAATCAAGCTGCTCAACTCGGGATTGGCACCTTTGGCCTACATGTTTCCCACGTGGTTCTTTCGGTTAATGACAGGGATTCCTGGAATCGCAAGGGACTGGTGGAAATTTATCAGTTACTGTACCTCGCAGATGGAGAAGCGTATGAAGGTAAGTCAAGTCAGCAGCAATTTCACCGAGTTTTCATTTTCTGACAGTATACCTCAGATGAAGTCAAGTAACCCCGATATCATGAGCTACCTCCTAAAACCTTTGAACAACCAAACTCCTACCGGACTTGATTATATGTTGCTCCAAGGCGACTCGCAACTCGTTATTGTTGCAGGAAGGTGGGTAGCTTGGCTTCACTGTGCTAGCGTAAGATATTTCACACTCTGACGGAGACTCTAGTGACACCACATCTGCTACATTGATACATATATTCCGATTTTTGGTTGAGCACCCACAGCATGTCAATGTGCTCCGTACCGAATTTAAGAATTTGCCACGAACGGAACTTGGGGACTATCAGCCCCCGGATTTGGCTGAGCTGAAGCATCTGAATGGTGTTATTAACGAGGCGCTCAGGTTGTTCCCCCCGGTCCCATCGGCACTTCCCCGTGTCACCCCGCCAGAAGGTCTGACTATAGACGGAACATTTATTCCTGGAAACACAACTCTATATTGTCCGCAATATGTGCTCGGTCGCAGTACGATGAATTCGTTCTCCAATTTCAAGTTTAATTCGCTAACGTATAGTCTTGACTAGGTCCCGAGTGCTACCCCAAACCCGAAGAATTCATTCCCGAGAGATGGTATTCGCGTCCTGATTTGATGCAAGACGCGTCGGGCTTTGCTCCATTTTCTGCAGGGCCTTACGGCTGCATTGCCCGACCCTTGGCATTATTGAGTATTCGAGCAACGGTTGCCCGTATTCTTGTTGACTATGATGTCTGTTTGGCACCTGGGGTCAGTTTAAATGAGTTCGATAAGGGATTGAAGGAGCACTTTACTCTTGCACCTGCACCGTTGAAACTGTGTTTCAACAAACTATAGGTATATGATTCCCAAAGGATATTACTGCGTATTTGCGTTGATTTCATAATCATGTTCACTGGAGTATATTGGAGAAATGAAGACCGCAGGCGTCCTATTGCTCTATAAAGCTCGCGTGACACAAGATATTTGCATAGAAGTGATGATACCACTTTCCCATTTCTTATTACCTGCCCTTTTACTTCCTCCTTTTACACTAAGGAGGAATTTACATTGGCATAAGCTTATATTCTCCCTTGGCGTACTTGGCAGAGTAAAAAGCCTTGAACTAGGCACAAACAAGCAATAAGTATGATTGGCCCTACATGTTGAATCACCATCTCACTGCATCAAGGGATAAATGTGTGTAACGCGCTAGCAGGCATAGGTTCGTTTAATCCAAAACCAATGGAATGCAGGCTGGAGTTGATTGCATCTTGCGACCCTATGGGCAGCAGGCCCTAGCATTTGTGCTAATCTTTTCTGGTCAGACTTGAGGGTCCTCAATCTGTTGGGTTGTTTTCCGCACATTCATGTGTTACGTTACAGATATCTCTGTTTGGACAGATCTAGGAAATGGACGCCTTATCTACGAAATCACATTTTTGCTGTTGGATTCCACCATCACTAACACAGGATAGACATTACCAGTCGAGTAAACAAACTGCATTTAATCACACAAATGGCGGCGTCAGACATAAGAATTAGACGTGGGTGTTGGTATATTCATTTATTATTATCCGGTCGTATCCCTCTGAGTGCCTTCAGTCAATTTGTGACTACGGTCTTTCTGTCCGATGGCAAGGAAATATGGCGCATAAGGGGCCTACTATTGTTGTGTTATGGAATACAAAGCACTCAGAGTGTTCAAAAAGGTGCCGATGGTGTTTTACTTGAAGCAGAAAGAGAAAGTTCTTAAGTGCCGGGTATTATCCGACGTATGTAATGAGGTGTGATAATATATACTAAGACTAGTTCTCACATTCGTTATTTAATTTGAGGCACCATTCTCCCGTTCCTTTAAAGCTTCCCGAACTTTGGGAAGAATCAACCGTCCATAATCAATGGCATCGTTGAGGTTATCGTAGCCTCGGATAGAGATGAGGTCAGCACCGAGATCAACGTAGTCCAGAAGGGAGTCGACGATGGTCTTCGGCGATCCAACAAGGGCAGTGGATGCACCCTGTGCATTTGTGGCGGTAACAGTAGGATACCAAAGGGCGCGGTCCTGGACCTCCCCACGAGAGGCAATATCAAGAAGACGCTGAGAGCCTGAGTTCTGTGGGGGCGGCGCATTTGCGGGGACCCTGTGTTGTCCGTTGGCCCGGTTGGTAGTCAGTGCATCAAGGGTTTTGTGTGCCTTGGCCCATGCGAGTTCTTCAGTCTCTGCGACAATAGGACGGAAGGTGACCCAGATGCGAGGTCTGTCGGTCTCCGGGCGACCGGCCTTCGCTGCCTCGGCATAGATGCGATCAATCTGGTTCTTGGTTTCTTTCAAAGGTTCACCCCAAAGGCCAAAGATATCAGCCAAGGAGCCTCCAATGCGGTATGCTTCATCCGATGAACCGCCGACTGAGACGGGAATTGAGTCGCCGGTCAGGCGGACTTGATTGCTGAATTGCTTGAAGGTGTAGTACTTGCTCTCCCAGTCAAATGGCTCATCAGACTTCCATGCACGGCGGAGAATCTTAATATAATCTTCAAGGCGGCCGTAGCGTTCATCCTTGCTCAGGAAGTCTCCTTCCTTGGCCTGTTCGGCATCATTTCCACCTGCGATGAAGTGAACAACGACACGACCTCCGCTGAGTTGGTCCAGGGTAGCTAGCGCCTTTGCTGCAACTGTGGGGTACAGTGTGTTGGGTCGCAGAGCAATGATAACCTTGATGTTTTTGGTGACGGAAAGAATGGTGGCTCCGATGGTGAATGGATCATATGATGAGGAACCATAGGGAACCAAGGTATAGTTGTAACCGTAATCATCAAGGTTGCGAGCATATCGAACGAGGTACTCAGGATCAATCTTAGCATTGGGAATTGGATTGATCTCGGTAGATGCGTTCGGGAACGTGACACTGATGAATTCCGCCATATTGACTTTTTGTTAACCTTTTGATATTCTTAGGTTTCTTGTCAGGTACTGTTTTATTTCTCACCTGGAAGATTGATCTTCTTTTAATACTTCAGTATTGGAGTATCTCCGGGTTGATTTGGCATCAACGCATGACGCAAGATGGTATAAGATTGCGTCTTAGCACGCAAGTCGATAACCATAATTCGATAACCATACACTTCCGTGTCAGATCATATGTTTCACATGGAGTTCCCTACTAATTCAAGTAAGCGCTATTCCTTCGGTCGCATCAAAGAATACTAGTACGGGGACTAGAAGGTATTGCGCCAGTATTGCGCAAGATGGTCCGTGAGAATCGCAATATAATGTTGACAAGACCCGCTAGGTAAGCCTATAGAATGCTGGCCGAGGTCGCAGTTCAATCACGGAGTTAACTTGTGTAGATCTTAAATCCCTAGATAAGGAGTTTGCCGGCCACCCATGACATGATCACTGGGATAATCATCATCGTTATACAGAATATGCTTATGCGGTTGTGGGCTCACGCCAAGGAATTGCTTCTGCTACTGCCAAACCCCCTCAGTGAATACTACACTGTTGCCAAATCGAAGACTTTCTGGCCGAGAGCGACAGTTACGCTTATGTTGGACTACAATATATCTCGAGGTTATTCTCATGAAAGTTGGATGCTTCCTTTAGGAATTGTTCATTTTACTGGCAGTGAGGTCTACATACTCCACAAGAGTGCTTCAAGGTGCTTTATCTGGGAATCCAAACTAAGTGGAAACACTTAATGGCCAAGGTCATATCTACCTACAGTATGGGACCAACCTACGCTAATTGGTCGAGATGCGGGGTTCAACCGGACTATCGAGACCTCATCCACCTATTACCACCTAGGTGTGGTTGTTGAAGTTCTACCTTAACTTCGATGAGTGACAGACATATCGTCCGATATACCTCTCCAACACCAGTATATGTTACATCCTGTCGAACCTTGTCAGTCTTGGCACCCCGCGTTGGATAATGACTCAGCATTCGATATTTCAGGTCTTTTCATACGGTATCCTCGACACGAGTCCTTATAAGATCTATCGAAAAGATATAAATTGGGTTGAATCTTGGAAATTGTCCAGCTTGACATCATTTGTATGTTGAGGCCAATAAGGCAAGTGATAGCTTGAAAGGTGCATCGATGATAAGGCGCTAGTCCCAATATGGAGACTACGTCATCGATGAGAGATGGGTTATATCCGCGACAAACCTCACTTTGCCTCTTCCTTTTACACGTCTCTCTATTTGAATATATTGACTACGTTGAACCACCCAATATGCCACTCGTTGTTCCAGGAATCAACTCCTCCTTCGGTGATAAGTCCGAGTGGGTCAACAAGCTGATGGGCAAGAAGATTAGCGACATTAGTAATGAGACAGTATGTCACTTGTACTGAATTGTCAAAATCAAACATCAACGCCTAACTCTTCGCTAGTCCTTTGCAAAGAAAGACCTTCCCGAGACTCACCGGGTATTGAAGCCAGGTGACATGAAGACCATGGACCATAACCCGAATAGGTAACACCTCATTTCAAAATGTCATAAAGTCAACGACCATATTGCTAACGGTGCATGATTCAACTTAGACTGAATATCCACGTTAACGAGGATGGGGTTGTCCATGACGTGAACTCCGGGTAGAGCTAAGATAAATTTACTAGATCTGGTAGTCCATGCTCAAATCACAAGACCAAATTGAACCGATTGAATATCTATTGCTTGAAAGTCTATTTCTGTCCTCATGATACCATCTCATATACGTTGATTCACTCAGCCTTCCATCTCAGTAGAGTAAGCGAGTGTCGCGGGAAGACATATAATCCACTTCCATTCCAGCTCGACTCCTGGATCGCCACTTCTTCCTTGCCGTTCATATTTGTCACGGCCAGATCAGTCGCTGTGACTGTGAACACAGACACTTCTCCCTGGGCTCCCTCAACACGACTTTCCAAATCTTTGGTATCGTGAATATTTACCACAGCAACATTAGTAAATCCATCATCTCCAATAGTGGCACTAACATCCAACCAGGGCGTATCCTTGGCACTGCGAATCCACTTAGGAGTAGTCTCGCCATCGTACGTTCCACAAGAAACATGACTGGCAACAGTCCAACCGCGCATGTAGCGCGAGAACAGCCAAAGCGGCCACCAAGTAGTCTGCTTGGTAATTCCCTCTGGGGTGGTCATCAAGGGCGAGATGACATTCACGGTCTGCGCGATACACGCCATGCTGACATCCTTGCTCTTTCGGACGAAGACATTCAACCATGCGGCAACGGCAAGTGCGTCGGAGAGTGTGTAGTTCTCTTCGGCGCCTTGGCTTCCCTCTGCGCGGATGGGATCCCAGACGTTCCACTCGTCGAAGCAGATTGTCGGGCGAAGTTGCTCCGGGGGAACTTTGTTCTCGACTCTGGCCAGATCAATCAAGGCGGATGTGATTTCAATTGCACGCTCGGCTGCTAGTGGTGCTGTCACGTTGTGCAGGTGAGATGATGAGGATGTGTAGAGATGGATACTGTGCATGTCAATCAATGGGACTGAGCTGGTTGACAATGCGGAATGAGCGGGAACAAGACACTGGTTTAGTGTGTAGTAATCCCAGGATGCAGTGCCATCCTGACCGCAAAGGATCAAGATCAGAGTGGGATCAAGGAGTTTGAGAGCTGTAAGAAAAGCAATTAGCGTGATGTTTCTGGTAGTATTGAACTGGAATATTACCCTTGGCCCATTGGATCGCCTTGTGAGCATAAGCCTCTTTGGTCATCTGCTCCACCTGCCATGGACCCCAGCACTCGTTTCCGAGGGCCCAGTACTTGACCTGTTCAGGTTGTTAGATTGATTGCAGTTCAAAATATTGCACTGTTTATCTGAACATACATTGTAAGGCTCTTCGCGGCCATTCTTTCTTCGCAGATTGGCATAGTAAGTGTTGCCAGTTCCATTACAGTACTCAACCCAGCCCAAGGCTAAGACCGTCCAACATCAGCATGGGTTCGTGTTAAAGTGCCAGTAAAGAAAAACATACCTTCATCCAGGGTACCGGTACCAAAGTTGAAGCAAAGGTACGGCTCTGTACCTAGAGCCTCACACCATTGCATGAACTCATCAGTTCCGAATTGGTTTGTCTCGGTTCCGAGCCAAGCAAGCTCGGGGCTTTTGGTAGGCCAACGTTAGCAAAGTTTTGATAAAATGAAAGTGACATGAGAAGTAATCATACCGCGCTGGCCGTTGATCCCTAGGACCAACGCCATCAAGCCAGTGATAGGTGGCACAGAAATTGCCGCCGGGATACCGAACGACAGGGATGTTGAGCCCCTTCAACGCCTCCAGGACGTCTTTGCGGAATCCCTTCTCGTCTGAGAGCGGGTTTCCGGGGTCATAAATGCCACCATAGATACACCGTCCCATGTGCCTGCCGTACTAGTTAGCACATGACATCAAATTGAGATACGTTCAAGATGCCTTACTCGGTAAAGCCGGCATAGATGTTCGGGTTGATCTTGGAAATGCGCCTGGATGGGTGCACGGAGATGAGAGGTGTCTCATGATCCTCCAATTTGGTAAAGGTCGTCATCTTTACGAATGGGAATGTTTGTTTCTACTGTTTATGTTGGAGGCGTCGCTCTGGCTAAATAGGCGATTTAACTGATCCAAAGCCACGATTCAGGTTCGGTAAAAGGTGTCGTTGTTAAGGTTTGGAAGGCGCGATCCAAGGAGGACAATTAAAGAAACGAAACGTACTTTGATCACAAGTGATTTATGTAAATAACCGATATCTCGGACCTTGAAGCGGTAAAACTCCTGCGGGGGAAGAGTCGGGACATCCGGACGATGACCCCTGTTTTAGCCCTAGTAGCGCGTAGAGTGGCTACCGGAAAAACGATGCAAAGCCCTTAGTTATATTATACATTAAAGATGGACCAATAGGCCGATGAGTCGGGAGTCTAGCCTCACGACATCCCCGGGATGTGGGAAATGTGGGAGATCTTCCGTCAATCACAGATGAGATCTTGCGCCACATTTCTTTGCCAACTCCTCCCCGCATATTTCGTGGACTTGTCATCACGGACCATTTCTAGCGGAATAAAAATTATCGGAAGCGATTGGAGGTGGGTGTTCGGCATTTTCCCTGTTTACACCACGCGATGTTAGTGCAATTCAAGCCTTAACTCCCCTATGGAGTATACGGTTCTCCGGAGTCATGGCGAATTGCCCCTTTAAGGTTCATGTGTAGCTGGGGTCCTCTGTATATGTAGAGAAGTTTCCCCAGAGAAAGTGTGCCATGTGGAGGTAGATCTTCATCCCCATATTATCCTATCAAATATCCACTTCTCCAACCATGCGTCTCTCACCAGCATGGTACCAGGTATGAAGGGACAATCCCATTAATAAGACTGAGCTCATGTTTCAATATAGTTCCTGGTCGGCGTCTTTGCCTCTCTTGGATCATTCCTTTATGGATGTATGTCTACAACCTCCATTTTTGACACACGAAATCTAATCTAGTCGCAGACGATCTGGGTGTTATTGCCGAGGTGCTTGTCTGTGAATCATTTAAAACCAAGTTTGAGGCAGATGATACTCAAACGTTAGTCTCGCAAACGACATGGAATATGGAGATCTCTAACAACGTTACAGGGGATTAATCGTGTCTCTCTTCACGGCTGGCGCATGCGTCGGTGCCGGCTTTGCTGGTCCTAGTGGCGATTATTTAGGTAGACGGCGAACCATCTCATTGGGTTGTCTCATTTTCACTCTCGGGGGTGGTCTTCAAACCGGCGCGAGAACAATTGCCTATCTATACAGTGGACGATTCCTGGCCGGATTAGGGTATGTGATGTCTCCCAGAACCAGATCCCCAAATAAAGCACTCATCATTTTCGATTCTTAGTGTCGGTTTCCTCACTATGATGATTCCTCTCTACCAAGCCGAGATCTGCCACCCCAGCATCCGTGGTCGAGTTACGGCTTTGCAGCAATTCATGTTGGGCATTGGAGCGCTCTGTGCTGGATGGATTGGCTATGGAACGTACACCGGCTTTTCGGAGGATAACAATGCCCAATGGCAACTGCCTCTCGGTCTGCAAGTTGCTCCTGCTGTGTTCTTGGGTCTTTTGATCACTTTCTTCCCCGAAGTAAGTTCTGGTTTCCATCGGACCGAGTCCAATGACTAACTTTTTTTCCAGTCGCCTCGCTGGCTCATCGACCACGGCCGCAGTGAAGAGGGATTGCGCACCTTGGCCAAGCTGCATGCCCATGGTGACGAAAACGATGCTTGGGTCCAGGCCGAATTTGCTCAAATCCAGGAGAGTATCTCATTCGAACATGAGAACGAGGCGAAGTCTTATGCCGACTTGTTTAACAATCGCCCTTCGTTCCGTCGTCTGTTCCTTTGCTGTGCATTGCAAGCCTCGGGCCAGATGACCGGTGTATCCGCCATCCAGTAAGTGTCACAATGCGTTACTATCGCCATGGAGTATCAATTATCAATACAAGGTCAATCAGCTGACATGACTTCGCGAATAGATACTACTCACCCCAGATCTACGGTCAAATCGGTATCTCCAACGAAGACACATTGAAGTACCAGGCAATCAACTCCGTCATCGCATTGGTCGCACAGTTCCTGTGCATGATGTACATCGATCGTTTCGGTCGTCGCTGGACTCTGATCAGCGGTAATCTCGGCAACATGGTCACATTCATCGTTGCAACTGTGCTACTAGCACAATTCCCTCCATCAAGCACCAACACCGGCGCCCATTGGGGCTTCATCATCATGACTTGGCTGTACAATTTCTCCTTCTCGGCAACCTGCGGTCCGCTGTCCTGGATTATCCCAGCTGAGGTGTTCGATACTCGCACACGTGCCAAGGGTGTTTCAATTGCCACGATGACTTCGTTCGCTTTCAACACGATGATTGGCCAGGTCACACCCATTGCAATGACGAATATTGGGTATCGCTACTACTTCCTATTTGTCGTCTGTAACTTCACCAATGCGCTCTTCTTCTGGCTCTTGCTTCCGGAGACAAAGCGCGTGCCTCTCGAGGAAATGAACCAAATGTTCACAAATGCCCCATGGATCGTGCCTGGAACTCGCAGGGAAGATTATATGACTCATGACCTCGAGCGGAAGGTCGAGGAGCAGGAGGTGAAGCAGAATGCGATGCATGTTGAGTAGAATGCGGGCACAGGAGAGAAGTTTTAGGGGGCATTGCTCGTGTTGCATATGTGGAAAGTATAGTTGATTCGATGTTGAGATACAATAATAAAGTTTTTACCTACTAGGTGAAATGTTCGTGAATTTTATTTGCCTGGTGAAATATATAAATAGCCTCGGCTTGGGTATTATTGGAGCACACGCTAGTTTTGGGAACCACCACGACAAGAGCTTGAACTTCGTTCTCTGCATAAATCAGTTTTAAAACTTCAGCTCTGCTTTGTGGGTTATAGTCGCTATGCCAGCACATGGGTAGGGATATGGGAAACTAGAGAAGAAAAGACAGCAAAGATAACTCGGGTATGTCAACGAATAGAACATTAGAATGCTGGTGAGAAGCTAAGCTACGGCCTTTACCATACTTGGAGATATATTTGTTTCTTCAATCATTAATTTGACCTACATCATACAGCCCTATCGTA